TAAGTACAGGGAACAAGGGAGGAACAAAGCTTCACTTTAATTTACAACCCTCAAATGTGGTATTTACCCTGTAAGTACAGGGAACAAGGGAGGAACAAAGCTTCACTTTAATTTACAACCCTCAAATGTGGTATTTACCCTGTAAGTACAGGGAACAAGGGAGGAACAAAGCTTCACTTTAATTTACAACCCTCAAATGTGGTATTTACCCTGTAAGTACAGGGAACAAGGAGGGAACAAATACTGTATTTACCCTTTAACTACAGGGAACAAAGAGGGAAGAAGCTGAACTTTAACATACTAGTGTATACTTGAACACTAAGAACAGAGTAAACTACAGCAGCAGTTTTTATTGATTGAAGACCAAATTACTAGATTTTTCTATAAAGCATCAGCTATACATTTACTGAAATGCAACAGTTAGCCCCCCTGTGCAACAGCAGTAAAGATGCGAGCCTGTTTTAATCTGCACTGAACCCTGACGGTAGGCCTATGTCATGCAAAGTTATTTGTTGATAGTGAGTTATGGAGACATTGATGGCTTTGGTGAGATCGACGAGTAAACATAAGGTAAGTAGTGTATGGAAATATATTTTTTATTGAATTGCAGATTTAAAATACAGTATACAATAAGGGTTCATAATTTCACAGGCTGTAAACCTTTTATTCATTAAACACCCCATATAAAACCCAAGCACTGAGTAAGAGTACTAATGTACTCATGCAGGTGCATGTACAGTACATTTGCAGATAGCAATAGGTTGTCACTGCATAATTCTTTATATGTATACAATACTTAAAGAAATGTACATCGTAAACTTAATATACTTATTTGCGTGATGAATATCTTATTGTTACTCCCTTTTACGCAAACATTATGGTTTGTTCTTTTGCAATTTAAAGAAAAGTACAACGTTATTTCACTGTACTTACGCTGTACCTTTCATGCTGAATATCTGGTTGTTACCCCCTTATTACCCAAGCATTACAGTTTGTTCCCTTATACTTACGTAAACGTTATTTATACTTACACTATAGGTACAGAAAAGTACACCGTTATTTCACTGTACTTACGCAGTAATTTTCGTGATGAACATCTGGTTGTTACCCCCTTTTTACCCAAGCATTATGGTTTGTTCCCTGATACCTACACATACGTTCATTATACTTACACAGTACGTACAGAAAAGTACACTGTAATTTCACTGTACTTACGCGGTACTTTGCGGGTTGTAAAAGAAAGCGTTACCATCTGCAGCAACTGTGTTATGCTATCATGTCAACATGGAGCAAAATCTCTGAGGAATATTTCCAGTATCTTGTTGAATCTTCGACACAAAGAATTAAGGCAGTTCTGAAGGATAAATGGGAAGTGTGCCTAATAAAGGTGAGTGTGTGTGTATGTATGTGTGTGTGCGTGTATATATATATATATATATGAAATTAGTAGCCCTCCTATGAAATTTTATCTTATATCTATATTATTATTATTATTATTTTACCTGGCTACAGAACAAACCACTGTTGTCCAATCACTTGAAAAATTAACCTATTTAAGACTTTAAATTAAACTTTAAGCTGAATACTAGTTATTCAAAATAGCTAGTGAAATATTACACACTGTCATCATGGCAAAGCCAAAAGAGTATTATCACTTATATTAAAAATTACAATTTAAAATCTTATACTTTTGTCTTCAGCTGCACAGCAAAATATGGGGACCCAAAACAACTCTATGGGTGTTAATTTCAACACTTTGAAAGTGTCTCATGGGGTCCACTCAAAACAGAGTTAAATCAACACTTTCAAAAGGGTTGGCACATTGACACCGAAGAAAGGGTCAATTTTAACTCTGGGCAGAGTTAAAAAATGTAACTATATTTAACACCGCCTGGTGTAATATATTGTTATTTTATTCAACTCTCTTGAGTGTAAATATGGTAAAAAGGCAAAATAGACTGTAAATTACAAAAGAAAAAACATTTTATTTGAAAACATTCACCACTTCAACAATTCATTCAGTTTTTAAAATGCAACAATGTCAAATATGCTTTAAATGTTTTATTAGTACAGACAGTATAAACAAAATATGTATGACCAGTGCTCAATAAGGCTGTTTCAGTCCTTTGGTCCAAACTTGATGTGTTATCAGAGCAATTTGAAAGTTCAATATAGCGTCACTCATAGTTTTCTTCTGAACTCATAGTTTTCTTGTGAAATTACATTTTAAACAACTTGGCGTGCAAATCTTTCACTTCTGGTGTTTCCTTGGTCCTCCATATCAAACACAGCAGTTTAAATGAAGGTATAAATGCTGTAAACTTGTGTGAAAACAAACTGGAGCAAGGAAATCTCATCAAGCATGTCCTGTGAATGAAGTGCTTCCCAGCCACAGGATGACCTTTTTATCCATGACGATGTACAGTAGTAGCTGCTGATCGCTCGTCTGGTGGTTCCTGATGCACGGATATAGGGTGATGCTCATCTAAGAACTCTTCAAGACTTCAGCATGAAAAGAAAAATGTTTGAAAACAAACTGCAATCAAATTCTATGATATATTTAAAAGAACATTTAAAGTAAATAAAACATTCAAGAAATCTAAACTCACCTTTTGAAAATCTTCATGATGATCCACAACTTGACTCTCCCAGCTGGTTGAGGTGACAGGATATGGAAAAGTAGAAAAAACACATACATCACTGTTGGAATCTCCAAAAACAATTAGGTTAACCACTATGGCTAGAACTGGAAAAACAGGCAGCTGTCTGTCCAGAATCCTGAATTTAACACAACACTTGGAGCAAAATTTAGAGGAGCTTAACATCTTTTATATCATTTAGTGATGCTGACTTCCCCAAAATATTGGCCACAGTGTAAAAAATATTCATAAACTTCATAAACAACAGTTTTCTGTAAGCGTGTGCGTGCGTGCGTGCTTGTGTGCGCGCGTGCATGTTTCTTTACCAGATTCAACTTGTTAGGCCCTTTCAGGTCCAGTATTGACGCCACCTTTACTGGAGTCAAGCAGATGTTTCAGGTCCAAATATAATCTAAAATATTAGGATAAGCAGAAGAGGAAAAGTGCAAAGCAAAGAGCAAAACATTATTTAAGTAACAGTTCACCCACAATACAAAACTTATCACCTTCATGTCATTCATTATTCTTTAATGCTCTAATACCCTCTCAGCTTATTGTGAAACAAATACAGAACTTTATCAAACATACCTTCATTATTATCACCACATATGACCAAGAAGGTGTGCTTGGTCATTTCACCAACTCTGGAAATACACCATCCGTCTCTAATCAGCCACCGTCACAGGGTCTTGTGTTATTGTATAGAGAACTGTGGCTGTTAAAAAAACAACAAAAAATTAGTATCTAACACATATGCATAACCTTCAGATAAAAGGAGAGATGAACATCACAAAGTATGCCTCACATTTTTTTCAGATATCTTTTGACTCAGATGTTGATTATTGATAATAAATCTACAAATCAAACCTGTACCATCATTAGGCTGCTCAAATATGAATCAGTTGATTAATTTTACAGACAGGTGGCTGTTTACAACGCACTAAATTGTCTTTAATAAAAAGGAAATGTTGTGTACAGTACATGCTAAGTTTAGCCTATAGTTTTAAGCACAATATCATGCGGGAGAAAAAGCTTGACTAAGATGTTCCTGGCTACATAAATAGCCTAACTTACTAACGTCAGACATCCCGAGTTGGGAAAAGTAATTTTCGGGGGATACAGAGTTGATTTGCGGGAGGTAGCGGGAGAGATGAGAACCTGAAGAGCAATGGGATGAGTTGCGCGCGATGTACCTAAAGAGCGGTGGGGGTGACTTGCGCGCGACGTACCTGAAGAGCTGGGAGGGATGCGGTGGAGAGGGGTGTGCAAAGTGTTTAATGACCGGGCGGGAGACGCGCGATTTCCGGGAGATTATCATTCATTTGCGGGCATCTACTTGGGCATCTGGGAGTCTCTGTGCGTTTGCGGGATAACGTTAATGTTAGTCCCGCAACTTCCGGGAGACTTCTGTAACCTTAAATGCCTGAGAAAGTGCAAACGCGGTCATTTAAAGACATTAATGTTAACATTCCGACTTTAATGGTTGTCAACGCTTAATATAATTCAAGCGTACGTTATCACGCGAGTCTATGAACTAACGTTAACGGTATATGGACGGCCACGAATGAACCAGTTTAAAAGGGCCGCGGTGTTTAAAATAACCAAATTAACGTACACGAATAACAAACAATCATATGTTTTAGTCAGGAAGCCTTTTACAAGTAAGCATATGTTAATTTACTCACCAGATATGTTTTAGAAACTCTTCAGAGCTTATGGAAACCGTCCTCTGTTGCATCCGGGCAGAGTAGGCTAACGTTAGGCTGCTCCGGGGAGTCCCTCGCTAGTTTGCTTCAAATTAAAGGAGAAGTGTCGATTTTATTTTACAGATGGGTAACAACGCACAAAATGGCATTAAGCGTAACAGAAATGTGTTGAACATGTACATTTGATGTTTTTATGCACTATGTATGCGTGAGCATATATAAAAACATTCTTGAAAAGAAGTGAATAGTAATGCAGTTAAGCTAGATACACAAACGACCATGAATGAACTGCAGAAGATTAAAATTGTCACTCCATTCTAAAGTTATTAACTTAACAATATGTTTACAACTGTATTTCCTCAAAGAAAGTCAGTAAAATACCAACATTTAGGTAGTTTGACTCACCAGTTGCTGTTCTAAACCTCAGATGAAAAATGGCGTCTGGAAAATTCTTCAGTGACTGGGGCTGCATGAATTCCCGGATGTTGGAAATAACACCACCAAGAGTTGAAAAGATAACTCCTTGATTTCGCACTGAATAAAATCAATTCTAACTCTTATTATATTCATTTATCAAAATCTAACTCTTTAACGTCAACACTTTACTCTGAAATGCTTCAACACCGAGAATTTAACTCAGATGAATTTGCTGTGTGTATTTTGTTTTCTGGGGGCACTCTTCAAGCTCACAGCATCACGAGGAAGCTGGAGGAGTGTCTTAGTTAAAACCTCAGAGCCAAAGTAAAAATGAAAGCATGAGCACCTACTGTTAGTATCCTCACCTCAAAGCTCAAACAACAGATGAAAAATGGAGAACTACCTGTACGATGTGTTTTTTGAGGCCAGTAATCTCTCTGATGTGGCACTTGAACACATAAAAAGATACTTCAAAGTAAGAAGTCGATCTGGAGGAGGAGAGTGTGTGGTCAGCAAAGTGGATAAAGACATCTACAAGATCAGTTTTGTAAATCAAAATGGTAAGCATGCTTTTCTTGCCATAAAATTCATTATTGTATCACAATTTATCTAACCAAAAAAAAATATTGAAAATAAATGCTCCTAAAAATGTTATATTCACAGCCCAAGAAAGGGTGCTAAACCGGAAGGATCATGTCATAAAAATAAATAAACAAGAAGAAATCCATGTTTCAGTAAGACGTGAAAATGATTTTAAATGCAGCGAACAACCAAAAGCATCTGCTAATCAGGTAAGTGTCAGAATAATAAAATAAATAGATATTAAGCTTCTATTTATGTGTTTGTTCTACCTTTTATTTCCTTCTGATAAAAGACAGTCAAACCTGTTTTTCAGAATTCTTTACTCTGTTGAAAGAACTGAGAACACGCCTCTTAGAAGTTCTTTTAAATCATACAAACCACTGTGCAGCCTCAGAGCTTGATTGAACAATTCAAAAGTAATAATTTCTCATAAGATAAGACAACTCAGTCTCATGAATAATATTTGGACACCAATGTGATCAGTACTTGCAGTCACATGACGCGTTACAACTTGACATAACCCATGAAATTAGAGGAACAAAGCTTAAAATTTGCCAGTACCCCCTGGTACCTAGTACCACCTACAATTAAAGCTAAAAGGTGTTAATATTGACTTAATTGATGTTCAACACACGTAAATCTCATAATCTCTCAGAAAATATAGGTATTCAAAATGAGCCAGGACAGACTGTGTCCGTTTCATCAGGAAATGCAAGACAAAAAGGATTTGAGTTATGAGGGCAGTGTGTGTGTGTGTGTGTGTGTGTTAATGCACATAATAAATATAATACTTACTCCCAGGGCCATTTATATCAAAGTTGGTATTTAGCTGCACCATGTTGGTGTTTCATAACATCTAATTTTTACAAGGTGGGTTGTTAGCCCAATGCTCAACCCCCAACCTGGAGAACTACGACATATACACTTTAGTTGCCCAATTCACCTATAGCCCATATGTTTGGACTTCTTTTTTTTTCATCCTTGGCTTATCACATACATGCCTGTAGTTTGGTCGCATTCTCTTTCATATTTGTAGTTTGTCCAGGAGCGCCGGCAGGATTTCATTCCAAGGTACGCACAAATCCAGCACCGCCGCACCCCCTTCCGATGGCTGTTATTTCAGTATTCAAACATTAAATAACAAATGCATCAAGTAAAATAAAAACAAATATTTTTTATAATTTAGCAAAATTATGCTTTTTTTATCTTTGCATTTTTATTATTTTATTTTGTTAGTTTTAATATTTTGTCTTCGTAATTAAAGCTATAGACAAATTCCTGCTTGACATTTTAGAAAATATTTTGCGTAGCTACCCAGTATGTATTAAAGATCACTGAGAACAAAAAAAAAACAGAAACATGTTAAATGGCCCCATAAATGTCCAAATTATATTTAACCGAATCGTAAAAATTTGTGAAAATTGCTTTTTATTTTTATAAAACATTTTATTATTATTTTTTGAGTTAAAACTATACCGGCAATTAAGAATCCATGTTTATTTTATTTATTCTTTAATTTGACCTGTTTATTGGTGCATATATAATTTTACTCATACAACAGTACCTTGGACAGCAAAGCTTTCAAACACAACCCCAATAAAGTAATGAAAGATAAGACTTTCTCCGGTGACGGCTTTCTCTCAACATGCCGTAACCGTCCTTCGGGTGGTGTAGCCAGCATTAAATCAGAAAACAAGACGTCTGGCTTGACAGAAGTGCAGTTATTTCCTCGTTGTTCATAGAGTCTGTAAGTTCGTGTTTCATGAATATAGTATACGATTGTGAACATCAATAATGTTAAGCTTGTCTATTCGATGCACAGCAGAAAAAAAAGTCTTTCAGCAGCACTAAAAAAAGTGTTGCATGCAGAACTGTTGCAAACAATTTATTTGTGTTGAATTTAAACAAACAAATTAAGTTCAATAATGTTTAACTTAATTTGTTTGTTTAAATTCAGCCCAAATAAATTATTTACAACCACTTAACGTTAAAAAAATTGAGTAAATCCAAGGAATCATCTTTACATAATTTTTTTTCAATGAGTGCATGTAAGCTGTTGGTTAAGTTCTCTCTCGGAGTCCTCAGTGGAGAAACAACCGTAAACATACCCAAGTATTCTCAGAACGATTTGGCACGATAGTGGAAAAGCAGGCAGCTGTAGTGTATACTGTTTAATAATCAATTTAAATAATGTCACAAATAAATAAATAAATAAAAAGCGGCATTAATTCTCGCCCTTTCGTAGTAGGTACGCACAGTGCGTACAGCCGTACGGCTGCAGGCGCCACTGAGTTTGTCCACAATCATGTTATTCTGTGTCCTAACAATATGCAACATTACAAGATTCCAGTGATCAAGCCATTTGTCTGTATGCACCGGACCCAGACAAAGCAGAAACACTTTCATGTTTTAACCATAGACTGTAAAATATAGGTTTTACCTTTATATTGGCTAGTTATTTTATTTTCAAGCTCTGAGGTAAACTGTCTGCTGCTACTTTAAGTATGGCTATGAATAAAATGGTATAAAATATTATTCAACCTCACAGTGGTAACATTTAACTCTACATAAAGCACAAAATCAGCATCTCAAGTTATCGTTGTCCTAGTAGGTGTTTCTGTGTGGAGTTTGCATGTTCTCCCTGTGTTGGTGTGGTTTTCCCCACAGTCTAAACACAGTCCAAGGTGAATTGGATGAACTAAGTTGCCTGTGGTATACGAGTGCGTGTGTGAATGTAAGAGTGTATGGGTGTTTTCCAGTACCGGGTTGCAGTTGGAAGGCCAACCGCTGCGTAAAACATGCTGGAACAGTTGGCAGTTCATTCTGCTGTGGCAACCCCCGATAAATAAAGGACTAAGCCGAAGTAAAATGAATAATATTATTTATGTGAAGTTTATTTATAAACAAATGTCGAGAGGATCACGTGCTTATGATTGTTCACAGCTGTTCCAATTTTAGCTAATGACTGATTATCCTATCAGACGATCCTTAACTCACTATAAATAACCAGACTTTTCTCATCTCAATAGCTTCGTCTTGAAGAAACCCCCCCCACCCAACCCTACTTTTCCTCCTTTCAAACAGGCGACACAGTGGCCAGTGATTAGCACTGTTGCATCACAGCAAGAATCGTTCTCCCCGTGATCGCGTGGGTTTTCCCCAGGACCTCCAGTTTCCTCCCACAGTTCAAAGACAAGCATCCTAAACAATTAATCCAAAATATTTTAGCCAAACTCCAAGTACACCTTCTCAGCATCCATATCTGACACTTAGCTACAATAAGCAGGAGGGGGAGTCATCGAGATCTACCTGAGCTCAAACTCCCCTCTTGCCTTGCAACGGGAGGGAGCCCAGGGCTCGAGGATCTTATAAGCTAAGGGCTCTCTCCCAGGACAGCACGCCAAACTAGCTTTATAATCTATCATCATTCACTATTTTCAGTTAGCACATAATGTCAATGATTTTAATTGTTGGAGTGTTTGTTTAAAACTGGCTGAATCAATATTACATTAGCAGTAACAGAAAGTAACATTACATTTGTTGATCGTGTACATGTGTTTTTAGATCATGCAACTAATTAGAAAGTTACAGTTATTTCTTGTCAATGTAATTTCTTATTTGTTTCTGGGCAGCCAAATGCAAGTAAAATCGGAATCATTCAACATTCAATTCCTTGTTTTTGTTGTTTTGTTTTGTTTTTTAGAAAGTCTACAAATTGGACCAATATCTTCTACGATTTTTCACTGACTGTAAAAAGCCATATTCACAACTGGAGAAACTCCTCTCTGCTCTTTCCAGCACCTTTGAGATCAACATTGAGGCAGAAGAGTTGGTGGTGCTGAGGAATCCGGCAGCTGCAGATGTTTGTCCACTAAAGCAATGGGAACTTGGTGTGGACCAAGTGGTTGATCAGCTACAGTTTCACTATACTGTCCACTTTGAGGTTGAAAGAGACAAATATGCAATTCTGGAAAAAAACTGTTCCAATCAAAACGAGGACTTAAAAATCTATTTTGAAGAAGGGGCATGTTTGGCTGTGGTGGTCGGAGAACAAAATCAAGTGGACGAGATTTTAAAATCTACTAGCCACACACAGGAACAACAGCAGGTCAAACAAGAGTGTTGCGTGTCTGAGAAACAATTTCCCCTCATCAAAGAGCAGTTTGAGTCATACATAACGTCTAATTTACCCGAACTTCAGATTGCACATGAACAATCAGGTGTAATCATTTTAAAGGGTCTGGAGAAAGATGTCCAAGAAGGTGAACAAAAGCTTTCAAAACTGAAAAAAGAGATCCAGGAGAAAAGGGTTCCATCCAATCATGCTCTTATGACCTTCTTGGATTCAAGCGATGGTATAAAACACTTCCAGAGAAGATTTCAGCAGAGCCTCTACAGCCCAGTAATGCTCGAGACTTCAGGATCAGATCTGCTTCTGTTGAGTTTGTCTGATGGAGCTCTTCAGGAGGCAGCTGCTGCCATTCAGAGAGACCTGAGCTTGGAGATTATACACTTAAATAACACTGAGAAGTCATCAGCGTTTCCTACGCTAAAGGAAGAGTTGAGTAAAGCGGTCAAGCAGGCCAATCGTGAAAGTGTAAAAGTGGAGCTGAAATACCAGAATGAGTCAAGTTCTGATGCCAAAGTGCAACTGGTCGGCTTCACTACTGAAGTTAATGAGCTGAAGAACATGTTACTTCAATATAAAATAAACCATCAGATACATCAAGAACGCCTGCTACTTGAATACCCAGAGATGGCAAAGCATTTCTCTGAGATCATGTCGATGGCTGGTGTGAAGGAGTGCAATGGAGTGGAAATAAGGCCAACATGTTCGCCTTCCCCATGCGTCCACCTTACAGGACCTCGCTGTGAAGTTGAGAGCTTAAAGGAAACCCTTGTGTCATTTCTTCGCAGTCTTGTGACTAAAAAATTTGAAGTGAAAGGACCTGGAGTTCAGCAGTTTTTTCAAGGTGATGGTGAACAGACTTTGAAATTAGTGAAGAATTCTTATATGGTTGGGATTTTTCACGTTGATGATGGGCAACCAACATATCAAGTTTCCAGATACTCAACCAGCTTGAGTTATTCTGGCCTAGCATCTGCTCCATCAACCCATCAGTCTCCAGTCTATGAGACTAAAGTTCACATTAATGTTGCGGTTGGAAGCCTTGAGCAGCAACAGGTATGGCTAAACATGGGCAGGTCCCTTGTAGTTAATGATTCAAAAACCACACAAACCAAAGGCAAAAATAATCCATTCAACTTCAGTTGAACAAATCTGAGAAAATGGGTTTGAGGAAAGTACATTTTTATAAGTTGAAACCAATAGTCATATGGCTTAATGTTTGACATAAGCGCATAATGTTAAAGGCATACGTCACCCCAACATGAAAATCTTTCATTACTTAACCCTTTGTCATTCCAAACTCTTAAGACCTGTTTTTATAAAAAAAAAATTACATTTTAGATGAAATCCGAAAGCACTCCGATCCTTGATAGACAGCAAAGATTCCTGAAACATTAAGGGCCCTATCATACACCCGGCGCAAGGTGTGACGCAATAGTTGTTTTGTAATATTGTAATCCTTTATATTTATATCCTATATATATCCTTATTATATCCTATATTAATATTTAAATTCTTTTTAATATGTAAAGATATTTGCATATTTCTCTACATCTTGTGTATATTAAGCAGTGCGGTTGGTTTTGGTCTATTGAAAAATCTATTATAGTTTCTCAAAATAGCAATGCGCCAACAATGCGTCTCAGAACGCCTTTCTTTTTAGAGCAGAACACCTATGGGAGCACATATGAGCGCTAATGCATTTGCTATTTAAACAGCATAGCGCAACGCCTTAAAACGACTCTTGCGCCAAGGTGAAACTAGCAAACATGTTATTTTCTAGCCTACATAAATATGAAAAACAACTGCTTTTTTTGCCTTCTTCATCTCCTGATGCTTTTTCAGTTCATTCATAACTATTTGCTTTTGTATAATGTTATTATTATTAGCAGTATTATGTATTATATCCATATTTATATTTGGTTTATTAAAAACAAGCTTAGATTTGTCCACCTGCAGGTTTTAGACCATATGGGGCACAACATGAGTATTTGGATGTAACTCAGTTTTTAGTCACACTTTGTTATTATTGTTCATTTATTCGCTTGCTGGAAATTAGAACTGAATTTAGAAATAGTTTTGAAACGAATCTTTGCGCTTAACAAACCAAATAAATTATTTATAGGCTAATTGATGTTTGTGCGTAAAGGTTTTCCTATCCACGAGAGTTAAAGTGATAGTAGGTAATTTATCTCTTATTCTCGCGCTGCAGATTCTCTGTTTAACTGTTTTCTTGCTAGTGAAATGGTCAGTTTTTCCACTTACACTTACTTTATGTCATGTAAATAGCGAATGCGCTCATGGCGCGACGCAGCTGGCTCTTAAAGGGAATGGGAGATGAGACTCTGGTTGGTTTATTCTCAAAACAAACCTATAACTCATTAAGAAAATTAACTCAACCCTTTTAGACCATGCGCCATGGCGCAAAGCGCATTTTCCATCTTTAAATTAGCAAAAGTGGAAAGCATTTGCGCCCTGCGCTCTGCGCTTTGCGCATGGACCGTCAAAATAGAGCCCTAAAAGTCCAGAAAGGTCATAAAAATCTTCAGAACAGATCATAAATATTTTGTCCAATATTATTCAACTGTTTCTTCTCTTTGTTTTCAGTTCAGGAGAGACCTGTGCTTTATATGCATTGCATACTATATACATAAAATCTGTATGCACCCACATTTTGTTTTAATAGAAGAAGTCACTTGTGTGCATTTTGGGTATACATCAGCAGTGACATGCATATTGATCTTCTGAATGTGTGCCCTGAACCGATGCTGAAGAGAAGAAACATTTTGGGTGAAGTGATTATTTTTGTTTTTTGAGCCTTCAAAAGTAATCTTCTAGTTACTGCTTTCTAAGAAGGATCAGATGACTCTCACATTTCACCCAAAACATCTTAATTGATGTTCAAAAGATGAACAAAGGTCTTAGGGGTTTGGAACAACAAAGTTGAGCAACTAATGTCGAATGTCACACAGAAAGCATAGATTCTGTGAATCTTAACACATTTTCCAACTTGCTGTATTTTACAGAATTGAATTATTCTGTTGTCCAGATGTTTTTACTTTCACACACTGTCAGTGTTTGTTTTCAGACGATTCATAAACTAAAGTTGTGTGGATTAACGTTGTGCTGCTTTTGTATGGGTTTTGAAAAGTCCATTTACTTGCATATTTAGAAGGATTTTTGTCAAATAAATAAGGCATGACGGAGAGTAAATTATGAGAAAATGTTTGCGTGGAATAAGCTACCTTTATTTTATTTAATGTGTGTTTTTTGTTTTGTTTTTGTGAATGTCATCATGAATACAGGCCGATGTGTTTGTTGTGCCAATGGTCCAAGCAAACATGACCTCAACGTTAATTGGTTCGTCGCTGTTGTATAAAGCAGGACAGCAGCTTCAAACTAACTTCAACACTGCTAAGAGACGTTGTACTCTTACACCTGGTGATGTGCTCATGGTGGATGCGACAGCAGGGTTGGGATGCTCAAAGGTTCTCTTCATCGAATGTGCACCAAAGGGGAAAAAACAAGAAAGCGAAAAAGTAAGTGGAAAAAGACTAAAATAGATGGTACGGTATTCCCAGAAAAGATTTTAGTTTACTCATTTTTTTATTTTATTTTTTTTATAATATGTATTTTGTTGTAGGCACTTCGCTGTGGACTTGGCCAAGTTTTTACTCTTTGTGAGCAGAATTCTTGGGGTTCAGTTGTGATTCCAGTAATTGGACCCGGAATAGTATTGTCTTTACCTGTCAGAGATTCTGTTAATATCCTTACTCAGGAGATCTGTACATTTTTATCTCAGCCCACTGCTTTCCTGCAAACCATCTATATCCCAATAATGCCTAATTACCCCCATTCTGAAGAGGTAAGCAGTCTATGTACTATAAAAGAATCCCTATGAAATGATGTTTGCCAAAGTGATGTTAATACCTAACTCTATCTTTGAAATATTTTTCAGATGTTTCGAGCAGTCATTGGGAATCTGAGTGCAAAAATGGTGGACAGAACAGGACAAGGCAAGCGATTTAAGAATTTAAGCAATTATAAATTAAAGGCATAGTTAAGCAAACATGTATGGATAACAGGTGATAGATAAAGTTACAGTAAGTAAATAAAGTTCAGTTTGTTGCTTGAAGCTATTGTTTCACTTTATAAGACGTCAGTGTGTGGCAAAGAGCTTAATAATGTTTTGCATGCATGCTCAATTAGATTCATATCAGAGGGCTAAAACAATCTTCTTTAAAGTCTGTTTGACCTGGAAGTTTTATTTCGGTATGTTTATGTACATCTAACTGAAACAGAATATTGAGTAGAGGGTGGGGCTTTCCTTCTGTGCATCATTCCCTAGAGATAGCTCAAATATTGTGGTTGAAGCCATCAAACTGATGACAACAGAAGGTTGCTCAGAAGAAAAATCTGAGACTTTAATTAAGTTTAAGTTTTCAGCTTCTTACAGAAGCTTCGCAAAGAATTACAAAAAAAAAAATATCTGCACATCTTCTCATATCTGCACATCTTCCCCTGTCAACACAGCTCTGTTTCATTCGCTGACTTCTGACCTTGATGAGGTCATCATGGCAGTAAACAGGATTGAACTTCATCTAGTGTTTGGTGACATCACTAATGAGACGACTGATGCCATCGTGAACAGCACAAACTTTATAGACTTCCAGAAAAATGGTATTCATGCAAATTCCTTCTTTAAATAATCCAAACATCTTAATGTGTTGATGTTTAGACCAGGGGTGCCCAGACTAATTCCTGGAGAGACAATAGCCACTTTCACACCTACAGACCTTTCATGTGTTCAGATCATGTGTAAACAGGCCCAATTTGAAAATACCGGTAAATTAATTCTGCCAATTTTACAGTAAGGGAAGTTGTAACATTACTGGTAATTTACCGCAATGCTGCTGTGGTTAGCACTTCTGCCTTTGGATGTTTCCAGGACAAAAGCAGTTGCCTGAATGCGTAAGTTTTAAATAGTGAAACCATTAACAAAAAGCCTGAGCCCCTTTATGTTTACAAATACAAGCGTGGCCATTTAGATTTCTGATTAATGGTGTCAATTTGTGAAGTTTCATAAACTAATTTCGAGAGGAGCACATGATATGATTGTGCACCGCTGGCCACTCATCCGTAATCAGTAATAATCCAATCAGAATGATCCTAGCTTACTATAAATGGATCACTTTCTCCTTATTGCTCTATTTTCGTTTTGGAAGAATCCCCCCTTCCACCCCATCTCCTCCTTTTTTCTCCCCTTCTAAAGGGGGAGCGATCGAGACCTACCTGATCTCAGTTCTCCTGATATGCTTTTAGACCGGGCGGGAGCCCTGGGCTCAAATATCTCCAAACTCAGGGTTCTCTCCCGGGACAGCATGCCAAACCTGCTATAAGTGCCAAGCATATCTAAGTGGGAACTCTTGAAACCTGTATTTTGGGATGAATGTGTGAATGGTCTTTTCTGGAAAAATTACGGAACGTTAAAGTCATTTTGGAAATTTAACGGATATTTGCCAATATCACTGTGTGAAAGGAGCTAATGGCTGTTTCTCAATATGCGTTCTTCAGCGGTCTTGCGTCCTCGTGTTCTCGTGTAACGTCATCGTCAACAGCCAAAGTTCAGTTCCAATACTCAAGACCACAAATACAGAGGACGCGTAAAAAAGTTCCTGATGTGTTCTTGATATCGGGGACGCATCGATGCAGGCTTGAGCACTGAACTTGCTCTTAAAGTCCCAGAAGTCATTGCGACTGGAGGCGGGAAGCACAGCTTTTTATTTAGAGTTATTATTAAAGTTCAGAGATATCACTTATTGATCTCAGGAGTTTCCCTAAATTAAACAGTTAAAGTAAACATTATCATGGACATCTTAATAAAGGCATAAACATATTAGGGTGTTGCTTTGCTGAAATTCGTATTAAAATCTGTTTTATTTGTATTGTGCAAAGTATATTTGAAAGGCTTTATGCAATGTATATATAGTGAAAAGAGGAAAAACAATACATTTTTGTACGAATGATGTAATCTTTAAATAATTTTTCAATAAAAATGGGTGAAGGTCATGTGACCATCAGGAAGAATGCAGCATCTCAATTCTTACAGGACACGTTCTCTGTTCTTGCAGTCTCCCAAGTTCAATCTCCTGAGGTGACCTGGCAAGAACGGTCTTCACAAGAACGCAAGTCCGTTCTCTGTGTTCTTGGAATTGAGAAACAGCCATAGTCCTGAAAAATTTGCCCCCAACCCTCAGTAGACACACCCGAACCCAGCTAATCAAGCTCGTACTAGGTATACTAGAAACTTCCATCGGGTGTATAGAAGCAAATTGAAGCTGAACTTTGCAGGACACCGGTCCTCCAGGATCCAGTTTGGGCACTTCTGGTTTAGACCCTATACGTGCTTGTTTGCCTTTAGTTGGTCTCTTTGAGGTAGGAGATTGACAAATGAGAATTCATTAAGAAGAACAATCACTCTGAATTGTTCGGGAAAGTAAAGGCATGACTGTTGGTGCACTCAAGTGCGAGCTCCCTCTGTTTTTCCTCACATTGCAGTGAGCACTCTTTGGCTACATTTACATGCACCCAAATAATCCTTTTTAATCAGATTGATGGTTCAATTGAATTAAAAACTGTTCATGTCGAGTTTGAAATTTCGATTGAATTGGAAAGGGTGGATTATCTCTTTTGTAATCCATTCCAACAGCAAAATATGAGCATGTAAATACCTGAATCCAAATACTTTTCCAATCACATTCAATAGTCTCTTGGGGCATACAGTACCTTCAGTGCAGCGTTGACACTTATTATCCAGCACAAGTTTTGATAAATCCAATCTCAACCTGTGGTCTGTGTGAGTCCTAATGCCCCAGTAAAGTAATGGGGACTGTAAACTGCTCAGTAAATGCCGTCTTTTGGATGAGTGATTAAACCAAGGTCCTGACTCTCTCTGTGGTCAATAAAAATCCCAGATGTCGTCCGAAATGATTAGGGGTCTAACTCCGGCATCCTGGCCAAATCTGCCCACTGGCCTCTGTCCATTATGGCCTCCTAACCATCCCCATATCCTAATTGGCTTTATCACTCTGTCTCCTCTACACCAATCTGCCGGTATGTAGTATGCAGTCTGGCGCAAAATGGTTGCCAGGTGAATCCAGGTGGATGCTGCAGACTGGTGGATGAGGAGATTCTGCCCAGATATGTGTAAACAACTTTGAGTGTCCAGAAATGCACAATATAAATGTTAGGAATCAAGCAATTATATAAACTTTATTTTAACTCCAGGTTATGTTTATGTACTTAGCCTGATAACTATTGTAGATGAAAAAATATTTCTGCATTATTGCCATTTGTGTTATCCCCTGACAGAGGATTCTCTCACTAAGGATGCACTGGCTCACAGCTGGCCCCAGGGTCTGCACAAGTATGTGTTTTTCCAGTGGGCCTTCTGACACAGTCTCTGTCTTTCAGGGAGGATGAGGACCAGGTCTTATTTGTTGTGACACACTGGCTCATTTGGTCTGGTTTGCCAACCTTATACTCACATAAAGACATTTTTTCTCAGAGACGTGGCACCATCTGCCCACATAGCAAAATTTCTCTGGCCCAGCTCTGGCCCACACAATCAGGTTTTGCTTGGCCCACATGCCGCAGTGAATTACGGTACATGACTGGACCAAATCTGGCTTCCAGACAAGGGCCAAACACGGACCATATCTGGGCCAAGTCTCAGCCAAGTTAATAACTCATAACTGGGCCTGAACTGGGCCAGATAGGTTGGTGTGTCACGATTGCAATGAAATTGATAAACCCATGAAGTGATGCGCTTTAGGCACACTATGGGCACGCTTTTTCTCAAAGTGACCTGATTGGTAGAATTTTTTTTCTTTACTCAAAAATGATTTTAGTGTATTTTAAATGTGGGTCAAGACTGGCCAAACTCACATGGCCCACTTATCACATTTTTAAATCTGGGCCAGATACTACGTTTTTCATCTGGCCCAAATCTTGTGTGCCACCTTAAAGGCGGTGCCACCTCTGCCAAACCTGGGCCATGTTTGGCCCACATGCTGTATGCCACTGCCGGATGAATGCCTACTGTGCCAGCTTTATGCCAAATCTGGGCCAGAATTCTTTGCTACTAGGGTGGCACCTGCATCCAAATCTTTGGAACCTCTTCATGACTTTGGTGACCTAACTCTAGTTAACGACATCACTCAAGCTACTGTGATGACTACCTTAGTGTCCTCTTAAAGGCGAGCAAATGATGTAAAATTTACATTGCTGCCATCTCTGCTCATCCTGATGCCGCACATCAAACTCAGAAGCTGAATCACAAACAGAATGATTGGTTTCTCAGTGATAAGCCTAATGTGCCATCTCATAGGCAGGCCCGGATTGGCTAATCGGGAGGACCGGGAGAATTTCCGGTGGGCCGGTCTGTTTTTTGGCCGCGAGGGCCGGTGTCCCAAGCTCTAGAAACTGTTGCTTTCAGCAGTCACACTTTTAAAAAATTATTTATTTATTTACTTGACCACAGCCTTCTTATTCATTATTTTACCGCAGCTCTGCTCTTTTTTATCTATTCTCTCTATTAGCTTCATGAGCAAGATGCAGCCTGCAGGTTAATGGTGATATAACTAGATAAGTCACCCCTCATTGTACAGCTGTTGTGGTTCAGTGGTTAGCATGTTAAATTATGACGCCGCCACCCCGGGTTCGGTCCTCGTCTGTGTAACATTTTTTTTTTTTTTTTTTAAGACATATAATACTGTTAGGGTTGTTGAACATTTGAAGTTCTAAAACAGCTGTTTTCTCAAAAAAAGACGTTATAGTGTAATTAGAAACTGAATTGGAAAAGACCTTATTTTAATATAGTCAGTGGTGAACTGAGGTGGGCCGGTCTGAGGCTTGAAACTCCAGGGCTGAAAAAGAGTCCCACTCCGGTGTGACTTATAAACTTCTAATTGGAGGTTTGGCTGCACAGATTGCACTTTTCAATTTCATAGACAATTCAGAGTGATTAGACTTGTAAGCAAATCCCCATTCATCTATCTCTGACATCAAGTCTCTGTTCCCACTTTCTGAGAACAAGTTTTTTGTATGCAGTACGTAACCGAGATTTTTTTTTTTTACTTAATCTTTCACAGGAGTGTGTAAGGACATCCTCACTAAAGCTGGACCTCATGTTCAGGGTCAGCTGACAGGAGGTAAGAAAATAAATAAACCATCATATCTTATAGAAAATGAGCTTATTATTTATTACATGTATAATAAGCATTTTTAAATACTGTATCTTTGAGTGCAGTATAATGTGCCTTTCTGTGTACATATACATTGGCTTTTTCTCAAAATGCGTTCTTGACTGTATTTGCATTCTTATGTCCCCGTAAAACGTCATCGCCGAAGTACTGTTTTAATACAAAGTTTGCATCTTGCCAAGTACAGATAAAATTCCAGGGTGTGTTCTTGCTCCGCCCCTTTTGTCAAGGATGCATCGAGAGGTGACTTGTGCGAACTTGCAAAGTGCAGAATGCATTGCAGCGTAACCAGTGAAAGCTAATGGCAGAGGAGAAAACCTGCATGGCTTTAAAAAGTCTCCTCTGTTGTGTTACAAAATAATGATTCAAGAGTTTTTCAGGCAAGAATGTAGTTGTTTTAAACTCGATTCAACAGTTTATTTACATAGCGCATCTTTGACGATGTGCTTCAGATTATGTGAACTCTGAGACCCAGACTGTCAGCGGGAGCTTCGTGAACACCTCCCTCACTAAGAGCAGCTTTGCATTAACCAGTCCATCTCAGATGTACTGCTAGATTGCATCTGTCTGTTGTAGTTAAAACATGAAATTTACTACATCTTGTGAATATCTAACGGACAGTTTTTGGTCATTTAAATGTATAATTCTTTCTTAAGTGTATTATTTTGCCAGTGTCATTTTGTTACATTTCATAATTGTTTTTAATTATGCTACAATTATGCTGTTTGTCTTTGTTTACCAAATTGCTTAACATTATCCTTATCTCCTATTGTCTCTTATTGTTTAGGTCTTGTACTTTATCCTCGATATTGTGCATTGTAGTTTATTACGTCCGATAATCTGAGACTTAAGTGTGCATAATAAACCATTTTACTTCACATTTGTAGTGATTTATGTTTAAAAAAAATTTTATCAAATATATTGATTCATAATAATAACGTAATATTAAATATAAGGCCGTGCTTTATATAATTAAATCATTTTATTGTTAATGTACAGTAAAACCGATGAATTCATGGTAAGGTAAGTGACGTTATATAGTGCACTGTCGTTTAAAGAAGTAGCCGACTTGTGTCTTCATGTCCTCGGGTGTTCATTCTTCCAAGTCTGAACTTCCAAAGCCGCAAGTCCGAACTTTGCGTACATGGTATTGACAGTTGTATTTTTGTCAGAGTTTTATAGGATCAGTAAATTTATCTGTTCTTGCTGTGTTGCAGTTTTTTAAATAAAGCAGAAATGTGTGCATTCATTAGAAAAAAATATAATAGAATTTATATTGGGCATCACGGTGGCGCAGTGGGTGGCACGATCACCTCACAGCAAGAAGATTGTTAGTTCAAGCCACGGCGGGGTCAGTTGGCATTTCTATCGAGTTTGCAAGTTCCCCCATGTCCACGTGGGTTTCCTCCGGGTGCTTCGGTTTCCCGCACAGTCCAAAAACACGTGCTATAGGGGAATTGAATTAGCTAAATTGGCCGATTTGTGAATGAGTGTATAGGTGTTTCCCAGTGTTGGGTTACAGCTGGAAGGGCATCTTCTGAAAGAAAATAAAATAAATGAATGAACAATTTATATTCAATTTCTGTTTTGTGTTCATGTTTATGTTCATAGGTTCTTTGAATATATTTTTTAAACAGTGCAGTGTGATTTAACCAAGAATCAAAGCAGTGCTAAATAATGTAGCAAAAAAAAAAAAATGCAGCATTGGTACAGCTGCTGCAGTTTATATTTTGCACACTAGTATCCCACAGTGCACGTGTGTGGTGTGTAACAATGTAATATTATCTTTAAAAAAAGGCATATGCTAAATTAACATTGCTAATACTTACACTTAAAAGGCAGAAATTCTATGCATCCAATTTTTTTAATCCTATGTCTTTATATTTCAGCTCAGACCGCAAGTGGGCAGATCTTTACAACCTCAGCAGGAAGCTTCCCTTGTAAGACCATCATGCATGTTTGTGGAGAGAGAAGCCCCAGCGTCATCAAGACCTTAGCAAAAGAAATAGTGGTTCAGTGTGAGCGCAGCCGTTACCAGTCTGTGGCCATTCCTGCCATCTGTGCTGGTCAGTACTCCTGGCTTCATTAACATTGGGTTCTTACAGGTCATAAAATGTTCTTTGATGTTGTGGAATATCAGGGAATTTTTGTTTGTCATTTTTATGTTTGTTTAATTTTCATTGCCTGTGTATAACATGTATTTTTTCTGTACTGTGCTATTTATTATGTTGTTTGACATGTTTTGCCTGTTGTTATGCTGTTTTCAAATGCAGTCACTAGACTGTACCTGTTAAAAAAAATTCTCTGTGGCTGTAATTATCCTGCTCAGTCAGTACTCAAACTGATACACTTACGTTTTGCTGTAAAAATATACACAACATGAAATAACTGTAGATCTTTATAATTTTTTATCTCAAGAACATTTGGTATCTCACAAGATACGTATTGTCGTTCAGTAGTGTACAACACAATAACATTTCAAAAAGCATGCATTTATCGCACAGTGCAGCGACATTGAGATTACAACTCAACAAGATTTCAGAAAGCAAACATGGGGCTCTATTTTAACTATCTAGGCGCAAAGTCTAAAACGCAGAGCTCAAAAGCATTAAGGGCACATCCGAATCCACTTTTGCTATTTTAAGAAAAGCAATCAGAGTCTCATCTCCCATTCCCTTTAAGAGTCAGCTGCATCACACCATGGTGCATTCACTATTTACATGGTGGACTTTGTAAGTGGGAAAAAAACTGAACAATTCACTAGAGAGAGAACAGTTAAACAGAGCATCTGCAGCGTGAGAATGAGCCTTCTCCAATCTGCCTTCACTTTCACTTTCACTTTCTCTCTTTCATGAATAAGGAAACGTGTTGTACACAGACATTCATTAGCCTGCATTATTAATTTTGTTTGTTAAGAGCAAAGATTTGTTTTAAAACTATTTCAAAATTTTGTTCTAATTTTCAGCAAAGGAATAAATGAACAGTAATAATGAAGAGTGGTCAAACAACTGAGTTATTTCGAAAATACACATGCTGCCCCAAATGGTCTAAAACCTGACAAGTGGACAAATCTAAACTTGTTTTTAATAAAACAAATATAAATATGCATATAATAAATAATACTAATGATAATAATACCATTATACAAAAGCAAATTGTAATAAATAAACTGAAAAAAATAAAGCCCAGAGATGAGGGCATGGAGGCAGTGGTTTTTATATTTATGTAGAAAATAATCATTTTTGTAATATTTAAATTCTTTAATTGTTTAATTTGTAAAGATATTAGTGTATTGCCCTACATCCTGCATGTTTTCAGCAATGTGTAAGCAAGGTAACTAACACACTCTGTTCAATAGACCAGCTGAAAGCAAGTCTAAAGTCCAGCGCTGTCTTTTTCAGTTGCTCAAAATAGCAACGCTCCAACAATGCGCCGTAACACACCTCCTTTCTATACCAATACCCCCATGAATCCATAAAGAAAGTGCTGCAAATGGATTTGCTATTTAAATAATGTGGCGGGAAACGGGAAAATTAAGATTGCGTTGGTCTAAAAATAGCAACACGTCGAGGCAAACATGTCTTGCTTTATTGCCCCGGGTGTATGATAGTTAACGCAACTGCATTTCAAACACAAACATTGTGATCTTTTGTTGCTGCATTGGGATCTTGTGTTATGAGATTAATGTTTTGTTTTTAAGGGGGAAATGAAGTACTTAGTCAAGTTCACCTTATTTTGTGCATTGGATTCCACTTTAATGAAAATATATTAAACAAACTCGATCAATATAACCATTAAGCAGAAATCGTTGTGTTTTACTATTGATTTTAGACCTAGGGCGCAGTCATCTTGGAATGTCCCTGTTTCTGATATCACGGTGTTGGTTGAGTTTCCAGCGCTGAACAGAAACAATGGAAGTAAAGGAGACTGTAAAGCCTAATTTAACCCAATGCATGAAGTTGCAATGCATGAAGTGAACTTGACTGAGTACTTCATTTCCCCTTTAAAGCTACAGAGACAGTCGGAAAACACTGAGCAGCTGAAATGGAAAGAAAATTAACTTTCATTGTACAACATTACAGAATATATATATATATATATATATATATATATATATATATATATATATATATAATGTCAATGTAATGTTTGTGTGCTTTACAGGACAAGGAGGTTTGGATCCAAATGTGGTGGCCAATTCCATTCTAGAGGGAGTGAAGGAGGGTGTTCAAGGAGCGAATCTTCAATATCTCCGAAATATTCGCATCATTCTGCTGAAGATAAATGTTTTCTTGGCATTCAAAGCAGTGGCACAGCAAGTCTTTGGAGGGAATGCCCAGTTGACAGGTGAGGTTAACAAGCAGAGGTGGCAAGCAAATTTATTAAAAAAAAAACCTTGTACTTTGTGGACAAAACTGAAAAACATACAACTTTTTTATACACATAAGTACACTTATTTATTTAACACACTTACTTTAAATTTTAAATTGCACGTAATATAGTTGAACATACAATATTGTCTATATCAGAGGTCTCCAACCTTGGAACATATGCAAGCTACTTTTTAAAAACTGAAAGTGACAGAGAGCTACTCATTGTGTCTTGGTCATTGAATCTTTCAAATAGTAATGGATCATAACTGTCAAATGAACAAAAATCCACACACACCTGGGGCCTCATGTACGAAGACTTGCGTGGAAATCTTACTAAAACATTGTGTACGCACAAAGCTGTAAATGTGCGTACGCAGAAAAAAATTCAGATGTATGAAACACTGCTTACGCCAAATCTCACGCATATTCTTTTGTACATCCGAATGAACGTGAAACTGAGCGCAACATGCACGAGCGCAAAACCCCTCCCTGCCTCCTCCCCCGTATGAATATGCTAATGACTATGCTAATGGCAAAACCCAACGAAAAAGCAATGGCAAAAGCAAGCAAGAAGAGAAACTTTGAACAGAATGTGAATTGGAGGTGTTGCTTTCGGAGGTAGACCGGAGGAAAGCGGTGTTATTTGCAAGTTTGTTCTCCGGAATTAACAACAAAAGAAAAAAATAGAGTGGGAGAGTTTAGCTGATGCGGTTAACACAGTTGGGTCTGAACATCGCACTGAGTGCATTAAAAAAAGAAATAGTGTGTTTTATATGTGTAAAATGTTACAGTGCTCTTAATAGTCTCAGTGGCGCAGATGTAAAGCGCATGTCAACATGTTTTGACATGTTCGAGCATGAACTCGGTTCGAATCCAGCGTCTGATGAACTCTTTCTTCTTTTTTCCCCCGCTACAAATCAGATTTTGCCCACTATTTATCACGAGAAAGACAAGTAGGAATCATCAATAAGTTTGTGCATCATATTTTATTTGCACTTTTATTGAATGGAAATGTTTCTGATTCACGCATGCAAATTCATCTTCAGATAGTGTCTTTATAGCAATGTGCGTGCAGTAGATAGCTCAGATTACATTGGGAAAACAGGCGACCGCTGCAAATTGCGCTTTAATGTTTAGCTGGTCAACTGTATGGTATGGAAACCTTATATACCTGCTAGATGAACCCGTCTCATACAGCTGCCATTGCAAGGCTCAGACACTTTGTAGAGTGGAATTTTAAAAAACTGCCTCTAGGAGTTGCCAATGGAAATAAAACAGACACGCACAAAAAATGTGCGTACGCCTGCCATAAAGCTGGCATGGAGCTGCGCACATTCCCACGTTCAGTTCATTGTTAGTAAATCCAAACGTGAGCGATTCTGAGCGTGAAACCTGGCGTACGCAAAGTTTTTGTGCGTACGCAGCGTTGATACATGAGGCCCCTGGTTTTTATTTATTTAATATTTCTGCCCTTTGAATTTGAAAATGACAAATACAGTTATTTTATGGAAAACAGTGTTTCATATTATAGAATACTGCAGTTGTCTGCAAAATAAATATGTAGTTTTTATACACATTTATTGTCACATTAAACACAAAGTTTTTTTTAACTGGTGTTGGCTGGTTTCCCTTTGGTTGATCACTGTCATGACTGTGTTTGTCCACCAGATGCCACTGTAGTTCGCCAGCAACCCCCAGCGAACTACAGTGGCTTTAGAACTACATTTCCATACATTCTTTCGCGCACACACCCGGTCTGTCATCTACACTGATTTACAACCACAGCTGTCTCCGTTCTCCGTTGATTACCTGGACTATATATTCAGTCATTCATCCTCTGTCAGTTGGTCGTTGTCGTCTTTATCGGTATATTTGTTCCTGATTCCAGTCTGAAAGAAATATCCATGTAGTCACTCTCCAAATATTCTGTTTTTGTAACTGTCTTATCTTAAGTTGTCCCTGTACAAGGCAGGCGCCTTGATGTTGCGCCTTGACATTCTTGGGCACTGGATAAAATTGTTCTGCTTAACTGAGCTTAATATTTGCACGTATTCATAGCCCATGTACCCTTGAGTATGATGTATAAAAGCTGGGAATACCCCAGTCTTCTTCAGAAGAGAGCAATAAACTGTTGAATTCACATCTCAGTTTTTGTTGTCTTCCTGGAGCTCCAGCTTACTGAGGAAACTCACAGACGGTCTGCAATTTATCCCAACACAGTCTGTATCCTTGTATCTTGTTAAAGTCTAGTTCGAGTTTGATCTGTTTGAGTTCCTGGTTTGTTTGTTTGTTTTGTTTGTTACTTTGCACTTTGGATTTTTGCATTTTTGTCACTTTCTCTGCACAATACTATATTAAACTGCACTTGGATTCTACTTCCGTTTTTTTTTTTTCCTGTTTTGATCTGCATAACGTGACAGATCACTAAAAGTTTATCGCTAGGTAATTCACTTAGAATTACCAGTTACTTTTTGTAGAAAAATGGGCCAATGGAATGCATATGAAATTGGCGAGTGAAGCTCTCACAGGTGTGGCCATTCTTAAATTAGGGGTATAAAAGGCTGCCTTTCAGAGGAGCTCAATAGACTTCAATCTAGAGCATTCAGCAATGCTGGCCTGGGTCCTGTTCAGGTCCACCATGCATTTTGGGATGCGGTGGTTTCCTGTCATTAAACAATACCCTGCTAGTAAAATCCAGCTTAAACCAGCCTAGGCTAGTTGGCTGGTTTTAGCTGGTCGACCAGGCTGGTTTTAGAGGGGTTTTGGCCACTTCCAGGCTGGTTTCCAGCCATTTCCAGCCTGGTCTTAGCTGGTCAGGCTGGAAAATGACCAGCTAAATCCAGCTAAAACCAGCTTGACCAGCCTGGTTTAAGCTGGACATAGCTGGTTTTGGCTGGGTTCCCAGCCTGCTAGGCTGGTCAAGCTGGTTTTAGCTGGTCATCTCCCAGCCTAACCAGCTAAGACCAGGCTGGAAATGGCTGGAAACCAGCCTGGAAGTGGCCAAAACCCCTCTAAAACCAGCCTAGTTGACCAGCTAAAACCTCCATGTCCATCACAGCATCGGAGGGCGAGTTTTCCTTATGCTGGCTTGAAAGGCTCCCTTCTCGGCCTGGTTAGTTAGCACCTCCATCATCACCACACTTGACAATGATGCGGCAAGGGGGTACATGGCTATTCCCCAGCTTGAGAAGGCAATTGCAGTAAATCAAAAAAGAGTGCATCTCTTCAGAGAGTGTACTAATGCTGGCCTGTCTGGAGTAAATCAGCTGGAAAATGATGGTAGCAGTCAATCTTTGTCCAGATAAGAAAGATGATCCCTGTCTCCCATTTTAAGCATGTAGGATTTCTGCATCATTTGCGGCCAGCCATAGCCTACATTGCTGCATTGTGATGGCAACGTATTAGCACTACCAATTGATGTCTGATCTGCATGTGGGTGGTCCTTTCCCAGGGGTCATTCACGACTTCAGGTCGGTGACTGACTTTGCTGTGATTACCACTAAAGCAGCCACCCATGCCTTCCCAAAGCACAGCTAAAACTGGCGAATAAGAGTGATGTCAACAAAGCTTGCTTTCTTGACACCCTCATATTGTAGGCTGGCCCATTTGGGGACACTGTCTGGGACACCACCTAGAAGTTGGGCACACGCTGATTTTCACAGAGGCAAAACAAACACACAGACGCAGAGGAGAAATACAGTGACTGTGTTTACAAGGGCATCAGTAATCAAATTATTTGCCAAATTATTAAATGGTGGACTTTAACTGCAGTTTTGCTCTTTCATTTAGGAAGATTTCATTCATGCCCCTCGTGACAAACGAGATATTTGATACGAGGAATTGATGAGCATGTAATTTTTATGCAATGTTTGATACAGCACGGCGAATGAGAGAAAAAAAAAACATCTGCATTTTTCGATAACTTAGATGCACTCAGTAGCTCCACTCGCAGATTGTAAAACCTTGCAAATGTGTTGGGTGTCGCCCAGCCCGCAGCGTGCACACGCCCAAGAGGATGCAACGCTCCGAGTGGAGTGCGCACGCACTCCCGGGGGACGCGGCTGACCTCTGCTCAAATAAGCACATGAAATGGCCTCCACAATCCAGTGGGATAATCTTTGTTTGGACACGGCACTTCCCTGCTGCCGTCTGCCATAACAGACAAAGAGCTGCTCAGAAGATCTAAAGTTCTGAGTACGGTCCACATAAATGCGCAGAGCGCGAACTAGACAAAGTAAGGACAGGGCTGGGTCTGCCTTCTCCGGGGGCAGCGCTTGCAGGGTTACTACCTGATCTCTAAAGGGAGTGTTAGGATCTTTGGGCACATAATCCGGCCCGAATTCCAGGCACGAGTCACTGACCGAAAATGCCTCCAGGTCCCCGACCCTCTTAATGGAGGCCAACGCGACCAGCAGAGCTGTCTTCAGGGACAGAAATCTTAAGGATACTGAATCGAGTGGCTCGAAGGGATCAAATCGCAGGCTGGTGAGAACTAACAGAACCTGCTCCTCATCCTCCCTGACCTTGCACAGTAACTGCGCGATCAGGCTCACTGGGGGAAATGCATACGAGGCTCGTATGCCCCGAGGCCAGCTGTGGCCCAGTGCATCCATGCCGAGAGTGCCCTCGGTCAGGAAATAAAACAACTGGCAATGAGCGTTCTCGGGGGAAGCAAACAGATTGATCTGGGCCTCCCCGAATCACGCTCATATCAGCTGGACAGACTCGGGGTGGAGTCTCCATTCTCTAGAGTAAATCTGCTGCCGTGAGAGCACATCGGCTGCACGGTTGAGCATACCTGGGATGTGAATGGCGCGCATCGACTTCAGCCGCGGGTGACTCCAGAGGAGTAGACGGCGGGCGAGCTGAGACATGCGGCGAGAGTGCATACCCCCCATGCGGTTGATATACGCTGCCACTGCCATACTGTCCGTCCTGACCAGCACGTGTTGCTGCTCCAGCACCGGAGAAAAGCGGCGGAGAGCAAGGAACACTGCCAACAGCTCTAGGCGATTGATATGCCAATGCAGCTGGGCACCTACCCACAGCTGCATGCCCGCGACACACGGCTCCCCAGCCTGTACTGGAAGCATCTGTTGAGACAACAACATGACTGAACGCCTGTCCCAGAGGCACACCGGCCTGCAGGAACGAGGAGTCGTTCCAGGGGCTGAGGGTGCGGCGACACAGCGCAGTAACAGAGACTCAGTGTGCGCCCGCATGCCATGCACGTCTTGGAACTCGATCTTGAAGCCAGTGCTGAAGTGGTCTCATATGGAGCAGTCCGAGCGGCGTGACAGCCGCAGCGGAAGCCATATGCCCCAGGAGCCTCTGAAAATATTTCAGTGAGACCACAACTTTGCTGTCGAGCTCCCTCAAACAGTTCAGCAGCAGGCAAGCGCGCTCTCCGGAGAGGCGCGCTACCATGGTGACCGAGTCCAGCTCCATCCCGAGAAAAGAGATCCTCTGCACCGGGGCGAGTTTGCTCTTTTCCCAGTTGACCTGCAACCCCAATAGGCGAAGATGCCGGAGCACCTCGTCTCTGTGCGCAGTCAATTGCTCCCGAGAGTGGGCTAAAATCAGCCAGTCATCGAGATAATTGAGTACGCGGATGCCTGCGAGCCGAAGGGGCGCTAGGGCACCGTCCGCGAGTTTGGTGAAGACCCGCAGAGACAGAGAGAGCCCGAAGGGGAGGACCTTGTACTGCCATGCTCGACCTTCGAACGCAAACCGCAGAAACTGACGGTGGCGTGGAAGAATGGAGACATGAAAATACGCGTCCTTCAGGTCTATGGCTGCAAACCAATCCTGAGGGCGGACGCATCGGAGGATGCGCCTCTGCGTAAGCATTCTGAACGACAGCTTGTGAAGGCAGCGGTTTAAAACGCGCAGATCTAGGATTGGCCGTGACCCACCGCTCTTTTTGGGTACGATCACGTACGGGCTGTAAAACCTGCTCTCCACCTCGGCTGGAGGTACCGGCTCGATTGCACCCTTCGCCAGGAGGGCAGCAATCTTCTCTCCCAAGACAGGGGCGGACAGGGGATTGACCCTGGTAAAATACACGCCCGTGAACTTGGGAGGCCGTTTGGAGAACTGTAGTTCAGAGCCGAGTCTGATCGTGCGTATGAGCCACCGCGAGAGGCTGGCCCGCGCTAACCAGGCAGGCAGAGCCCTCGCTAATGAAGTCATCGCAGCAATCGTTGACGTACCCGCGGAGGGGCAGCGCGGAGTGGGTGTGCTGATCCGTGGAGCGCGAAGGTCCCACAGAAGAGCTGGAGGAGAGCGATTCGCTCTGGTTCCGCACCCTGACTCCGAAGGGGGGCTTGGGGGCTGGGAGAAGGGAGACCGGCGTGAGCCTCTGGCAGAGTATGCACACTCTGCGAGCTGAGAGGCAGCGTGTCTCAGACTGGCAGGGCTTGAGCTGTGACATCCGGGGAAGGGGAAAAATGCTCTTTGTTCAAAACTTTGGTGGCACTGAAAAGTACCGTTGGAATATGGGCCCCGCCCTCCAGCGGGGAAAGAGCAAGTTTCCTCCTCTCCGGATGGCCTGTCTCAGGGACGCTTCGCGGTCCGTAGCACCACATTAACATGCTGGACCCCGAAACATGTAATGCAGTGATCGTGCCCATCATCCGGAACCAGGAAACCCCCGCAACCAGAAACGCACAGTCAGAGCGCCATCCTGAAAAGGACGTGCTGCACGACTGTGTTGCTTTTTTAGGAAACTGCAACAATACGCACCACTCTGGAGGACCGGACCCAAAGGGACGCCAGGCAAAGGAGAAAACCCAGCTCGACCGTCTGCCGCTGCGTGGACTCGCTCTGGACCGGGAGACACTCGTTCGCTCTGTGGCTGTAGACAGCAAGAGGAACCCTCATGAAGCTCGATCAGAAAAGTTTCTGAAGTGAAAAGGATAGCGTTTGCTGGCACCAGGTGTGCTTATATGCTCAGTTAATTGGCGATGCAGCACACCTGCGCAAGCTTACGCTGCCAATTAATTGCTTTCATTGGCCCGTTCAATACTCTTTCAGACAAGTAGCTTCTGAACCGAATCTCCTATACGTGGATTTAAAACATCAAATCCACTTATAGTACTGGAGTTTCTCAATCGAAGGGGAACTAAGGAGGGCAGGGCTTAGCGAAGGGTCACTTAGCCCATTTTTATACAAATCAGAGTGATCCCTTAGTCGATCCACTCGACGTAAACTCAGTGATCAACTGAGGGGCATGAGGGTTATGTACGTAACCAAAACATTTATAATTTCTTGGTATTGGTAATTTCTTGGTAATATCACTTTAGAAAAGACTTGTTTATTTAATCATTTCGAAGTAGTTTAAAATAGAAAAGCCAATGTAAAAGAATAGCGAAGTAAAGGCTATGACTATGTTTTTCTATTAAATTTCAAGAAAATGTTTTGAGTTCTGTGCAGATTTATTGCATTACAATCCTGTATTTTTTATTTATTTATTTTTAAAGACGCGACATATAGAAACGCAAAATAGAATAGAAACCGTTTTTAAAATAGTAATTGCACATCGCTGTCAAGGATAAAACATTTTACACATGTCGCAGCTCCATGTTTTGTGTTTTTAGGACAGTGTAAATCTAGCAACATAGGAGCTCTGATGTGTATGGAAAAAGATGATTATGACAGTGAATGATGAGCTTTTCATTTAGTGTATTATTATTAAAGTTGATTGCACAAAGGTAGTTCACAATGTTGCACTTGTACCTCTTTCAGCGCCTGCTCCTCTTGTACCTATCAGCGTACCCACCAGAGGGCGCAGTGGATCAGCAATATCAACCAGATCACGAGCAGTTTCTTTACCAACTACATATGACTTCAGGTCTCTGTTGACATCTTTGCCAGTAACAGAGGACAAAGCAGCATTCCTGGTGATTGGTGACCGTGATAAAGACGTGTCTGATGCCTGTAGAGAGCTTCAGCGGGCGTACGACAGTCAGTGTTTAACACAGTCATTCCACTCTGATGAGATTGAGCATCTTACTAAGGATGAGCTGGACAAGCTGCGCTCTAAAGTAGATTCACTGCACCTTAAGCTAGAAACCAACAGCTCTGGAGAATGGGTGGTAAAAGGGCTGAAAGATGGAGTGAATGAAGTGGCAAGACTGATATGGCGTGATGCACTTCGCAGACAGGTGAGAAATTAAACAGTAAAACAAAATTAGCATTTGCCAGACAATGACAGTGTGAAATAGCATGTTTTTGTGATGTTTTACTTGCAAAAATAAGTTAGTCACAAAAAAGTTACGAATAATAGTTTTTATAATTATTGCTGCAGTGTTTAGGATAATTTTGATTAATGTGTAACTTAAAACACCTTTTAAATGAGCAAATAATATTTTATTTTTAATTTTAAGAAGCCCTAACTATTAATTCTTTCAAACCTTCAGGTAAGAGAGAAGGAACAGGATAACCTCTTCACTCAAGTGACGTGGTGCATTTTGGGACTCCGAGGCATTTGGCAGAAGGTTTCAGTAGAGGCCAATCATAAACTTGAGAGAGCTGATGTAAATGATGGGATTGTGGACGCACAAGGTGTGAAATGGACTGTGGATTTAAAGAAAATGGAGGCCACAGCATGTGTTTCAGGACAGGTGACAGCTCTCAAACGCCTGGAGAACCTTCCAGGTGAGGTTTCTTTATATATGATTCTGATTATTTTCATAATTATCTGCATAAAATCAAAAAGTATTTTTTAATTTTTATTTGTATATTGTAGTGCTTGTTATAAATGATGGTTTATCAGTGCACTTCATTAATTTGTACATTTTGCACTCGTAATCTTTTAATCAATTACGATAACCTCTTTGAATCATTGGATGAAAAAGCTGCTAAATTTGCAGATGTTTTATGCCATATTCTAGTTTTGAAAACTTTCTAGTTTTGACACCTCGCAGACGGAAATCCAACATTTAGCATGCTTAATATTCCAGAGCAGTCGGCCGACTCAACCCCACGTGTGGTCAGATGTAGTGACGAGCTACAGCCAATGAGAGACATTTGTTAACAGGCATAATTGTTACCGTTAGTTGAACACATTGTTCAGTTGTTAACAACTGAGAACGATTAAATTCCAATACAGTTTCCTTAGTAGAAAAGCTAAATTAACCAGCATTTTATTTGTATAGTGCTTTTACAATGTAGATTGTGTCAAAGCAGCTTCACATAAAAGATCATAGTGAATTGAATCAGTGTTGTTCAGTTTTCAAAGTTTAAGTTAAGTTCAGCTTAGTTCAGTGTGGTTTAATAATCACTACTAAGAGTCCAAACGCTGAAGAGCAAACCTATCAATGCACAGCTCTACAGATCCCGAACCATGCGCACCAGTGGCGACATCGGCGAGGAAAAAACTTCACCAATTGGCGAAAGTGAAGAATTGAAAAACCTTGACAGAAACCAGACTCAGTTGGGCACGACTATGTCTCCTATGGCCAAACATCTTGTGCAAAGCTGCAGTCTAGGTGCCGTAGGCTGAAGAATGCTGGACCTCATAGAAGACTTGTCTGTTCCCGGAGCATCACATAAATCAGTCTCATGCTGCCCGCTCCTCCTTGACCACCATAGGAGCTGCTCAGGATACAGCCTGGTTCAGGATTATGGAAACCTTGAGATCATCTCGTCGCTGGTCTTGGTATAAATCAGTGGCGCTGCATAGTCTGAGGACCTCGGGATGAGAATCCCCAAGTGGAAATGGAGAATAAAGAGAATAATTAGCGTAGCTGCTGTTCATAGTGTATATACATGAGATGCAGAAACCTGCGTGGAGCACATTCATGTATCATACCACTATCAGGAAGGCTATTCCAGAGTTTCGGAGCCATAAATGAGAAGGCTCGACCTCCTTTACTCGACTTTGCTATTCTAGGTACTACCAGAAGCCCTGAGTTTTGAGATCTTAAAGAGCGAGTTGGATTGTAGCGAGACAGAAGGTTGGTTAGATAAACAGGAGCTAGATCATTTAAAGCTTTATAGGTAAGAAGTAATATTTTAAATTCAATATGAAACTTAACAGGCAGCCAGTGTAAGGAGGATAAAATTGGGGTGATATGATCATATTTTCTAGACCTGGTCAGAACTCTGGCTGCTGCATTTTGTACTAATTAAAGTTTGTTAATAGAGGATGCTGGAGCCAGCAAACTGAGCATTACAGTAATCCAGCCTAGAGGTCATAAAAGCATGGACTAGTTTTTCTGCATCTGAGATTGGTAGCATACCTCGTAATTTAGCGATATTTCTCAGATGAAAGAAGGCAGTTTTTGTGACATGGGATATATGATTTTCAAAAGTTAGATTGCTGTCTAATATGACACCCAGATCTTTTATAGTAGAGCTAAAGCTAACTTTGTATCCCTCTAATTGTAGATTGAGTTGCGAGATCTGCTGTGTACAAGATTTAGGCCCAATAAGTAATAATTGTGTTTTGTCTGAGTTTAAGAGAAGAAAATTGTTGGTCATCCAGTGTTTAATATCTTTAATACAGTTAGTTTAGACAGTTCAGACATCTCATCAGGTTTAGTTGAAATATATAATTGAGTATCATCTCCATTAATATTCACAAACTGGTAACGGTCAGCTAAGTATGACTTAAACCAATTTATCAACTGAATGGTTTGTGTGTTAGGAAATAAAAGCTGTTAATACATGTTTTCAAATTGCAAGAAAGAATTTGTCCTTAAAAGGGTTAAACGCATCTCTCACTATTCTTCATTTCAGATTTCTCTTTGCCCATCTACTGGGACAACATGAGACAAGACGAGCATTTAAAATTGGTTGATTTGGATCCGCAATCAACAGAGTACCAGACAGTGAAGGCAGATTTCAAGAAGACCGTCAAACAGACTGTGCTCAAGGTTTGATACTCGACACAACTATAATGGCCATTGCATGACAAAAAAACATCCTGAAAGACATAAACAGTTTTGTAGTTTGAGTCAGCAAGATATTTTAATTTTTGTTTGTTTGTTTTTTTTTAAAGAACAAGAATTAGTTGAATGGGACGGATGAAAAATAGCCATTCTTGGCTAATTCTGGCACATTTTACAGTAATGTTTATTAATGTGCATTGACCCTGTAAACAAATAAACTAAACTAAACTAAAAAAAAACTAAAAAAAAAAAGTTTTATTGTGCTATAATCACAAGAGAATTGGATTTTTGGACACAGTTACAGATTTTAAAAAAATATGGTTGATTACTAAGAGGCAATAAACTGAAAATTCCTACAAGTGTGGACTCATGTGCGGTTGGCTTTAAAAATAACCTACACTATTTGTTATTGATTGTGTGTAAATGCATTTCAACAGATCGAGCGCATCCAGAACATCAATCTTCGGCGGTTATATGAGGCACGAAAATCAGAGCTAGAGACCAAAAATAGTCAAACAGTGGGAGCAGGAGAGAAAATCCTTTATCACGGCTCATCACAGGCATCCTGCTCATCCATCATGAGCACAAACTTCGACCGCAGTTTGGCTGGGCAAAATGGTAATTTCAAAGTTTTTTTGAAAGTTCAAGCGTAAATATGATTTTTATGTATTTGTATTATTTTCTAAAAATGTATTTGTAAAATGTATCTATGTCTATTTTCTAAAGACAAATAATTAGCATGTTTAAAAAATTTAGGTTATAAATGATTTGTCGTTTATAATGTTGTGTTCACAAAATGAATGGTTTGGTTCGATATGACAATGGTGTAATGGTTCAGTATGTTTTCAATACAGCAAAACGGGGAAAAATCCTTGATTTTTAAACATCTGTGGCCTCATGTACGAAGACTTGCTTGGAAATCATACTAAAACATTGCGTACGCACAAAGCTGTAAATGTGCGTACGCAGAAAATAATTCAGATGTATAAAATCCCACGCATATTCTTTTGTACATTGAATGAACGTAGAACTGAGCGCAACATGCACAAGCGCAAAACCCCTCCCTGCCTCCTCCTCCGTATGAATATGCAAATGACTCTACTTTGGCAAAACCCAACGAAAAAGCAACATCAAAAGCAAGCAAAAAGAGAAACTTTGAACAGAATGTGAATTGGAGGTGCTGCTTTCGGAGGTAGACTGGAGAAAAGCTGTGTTATTTGCAAGTTTGTTCTCCGGAATTAACAACAAAAGAGAAAAATAGAGTGGGAGAGTTTAGCTGATGCGGTTAACACAGTTGGGTCTGAACATCGCACTGAGTGCATTAAAAAAGAAATAGTGTGTTTTATATGTGTAAAATGTTACAGTGCTCTTAATAGTCTCAGTGGCGCAGCTCGTAAAGCGCATGTCAACATGTTTTGACACATTTGAGCATGAACTCGGTTCGAAACCAGCGTCTGATGAACTCTTTCGTCTTTTTTCTCCCACTACATATCAGATTTTGCTTACTATTTATCACGAGAAAGACAAGTAGGAATCATTAATAAGTTTGTGCATCATATTTTATTTGCATTTTAAATGTTTCTGATTCACGCATGCAAATTCATCTTCAGATAGTGTCTTTATAGCAATGTGCGTGCAGTAGATAGCTCAGATTACATTGGGAAAACAGGCGACCGCTGCAAATTGTGCTTTAATGTTTAGCTGGTCAACTGTATGGTATGGAAACCTTATATACCTGCTAGATGAACCCGTCTCATACAGCTGCCATTGCAAGGCTCAGACACTTTGTAGAGAGCAATTTAACACAACTGCCTCTAGGAGTCGCCAATGTAAATAAAACAGACACGCACAAAAAATGTGCGTACACCAGCCATAAAGCTGCCGTGAAGCTGCGCACATTCCCACGTTCAGTTCATCGTTAGTAAATCCAAACGTGATCGATTCTGGCCGTGAAACCTGGTGTACATGAGGCCCCTGTTGTTCAATAAAACTAAGATCATAAAGATTTACCTTATTTATAACAATGATGGAGCTACACTGGAAAAACATTTGAAGTGGATCAAAACCTTTCATCTAACTATTAATCAACACCCATTCTTGTGTTGGATCATTTTGAAAAACTTTTTTGGCTCACTTCAAATGTTGACTGCTGTTTTCTGTGCAGCATATAAAAACAGCTTCTTATCAAACTTAGATAAAACATTTTGATTCAAGTCGATTAAAATAAAAAGTTATCAACAAATGCAAAGAAAATAGCCTTTTTTTATGTTTTGCATGTAAATTCTAATGTTGTTTTTTATAAATATCGCCATCTTGTCTTGGGCTCATTTACACTGAACATCTTCACTTCTAAAATTGTGAAATGCAGCAGCCTCTGAGTTCTTCTGATTGGTCCACTGGTTTAAAACTGACATTGACAAAAAGCGATGCGTGTAAAAGTAGATGTTCTTTTAACTTGACATGGCTAGTGTGCAGTGCTTTAAAAGACGCGAGCGTAACAGAAACACATGTCCGCATTTGGAGGCGTGAGACTCTTTTTGGGAGCACAGATAATCAAGACAGTTCTGGAGGTAATAATAATAATAATAATATAATAATACTGAACCACTGTCATGATGTACTTTGGCTAAGGGGTTTTTAGAAAGACCTAAACTACATGTCAGATTTCAGATTTATCCATTAATTCATCCCATCTAGGCCTCGGTATAAGATTCTGATTATATGATAACCTTTGATAGTCACGGTATTTAAATTACTGCTCTTAAATAGGTTTGTTTTTAAAAGTCTGGGTAAAAAACAATGAGTTTTCAACAACAGTAAACCTTGAAACCAGCTGTCATCCCATGCCTAGTCCCATCACAACCATTTGTTTTCACTTGACCTGTAAAAACTAAATCACGTGAACAAAATGACATTTATTCAGTAAATGTGTTTCAATCAAAGTTTAAACACATTTTTCTCATGAGGTAAAGAGTTTTTAATTCACATTTTCAAAATGTATGCACACCTTGGTGTTTCTGTTAAAAAAAATTATGCGATCTTCCAACATGTACAAAAAAATGGTGGATGTAAACAGCTACATTAATGTTACTCATTCACACTGTAATTTGTTCACTGATAACACTTGCACTGATAACACTAGGATTTTGTCACAGCAGAAAGTCTTGACAATTGTAATTTCTCATTGAACATTACCTTTATTACATGGATTAAACGTCTACTTTATATTTTATTAAATACATAGCTAACTGATTCTCCACTGACGGTTCAGTTTGCAGAATAATCAACTGATACTGATGCTTATTTGAAACTGATGGTGATTATCTTTATGTATTTCTCAGCCACTGCCTACGGTCATGGGACGTACTTTGCAGTGAACGCCAGCTACTCTGCTCAGGCGACCTATGCAGTTCCAGCAGCAGACGGGACTCAGCTGATGTTTGTGGCTCGTGTGCTTACGGGTCATTATACTCAGGGTCTTGGGAGCATGAAGAAACCCCCTGTCCGTGTTGCTCCAGACCAGCTCTATGACAGTGTGGTAGATAACACCCAGGATCCCACAATGTTTGTAGTTTTTCACGACTGCCAGGCTTATCCAGACTACCTCATTACATTCAAGTGAACTTCAACAAAAATCAGCCTTAGCGTCAACACTGGATGGTTTATAAGTATGAGTTACCCAGCAGGCACAGATTGTCAACATATCGTCAGATTGACATTGTGCCCCAACATTGTGGGATGTTGCATTGTGTTTGGAAATTAAAATCCGATTGGCGTCAGAACCCAACGTCAGGCTGACGTCAATGTCCTGTGTTGAACAGACGTTGCAATTTGGTTACTTTCCAACGTAATTAAAAACAACAACAAAATATCTACATCTGATGATGTTACAGCTTGACGTTGTGTGGACATTACCACTATGACATCTATCAGACGTTGGATTTTGTTTGTCATACTTGACGAATAAACGTCAGTATTTGACGTCAACATGACGTTGGCTTACGCTGTTGGCTTGACACTGGATTTTGGTCACTTTTCAACACAACCTAAAATCTATCAAATCTCAGTGTCATTTCACACTATTATTGAACGTCAAAATAACGTTGTCATTAGACGCTGATGACCTAAATCTAACCGAATATTAACATATAATGACGTTGTGTGTCTGCTGGGTATACACTTTATTCATTCATTCATTCATTCATTCACTCATTTTATTGTCAGCTTAGTCCCTTTATTAATCCGGGGTCGCCACAGCGGAATGAACCGCCAACTTATTTAGCAAGTTTTTACGCAGCAGATGCCCTTCCAGCCGCAACCTATCTCTAAGAAACATCGACACACACATTCACACTCATACACTATGGACAATTTAGCCTACCCAATTTACCTGTACCGCTTGTCTTTGGACTGTGGGGGAAACCAGAGCACCCGGAGGAAACCGTGAGGCGACAGCACTACCTACAGCGCCACTGCCTCGCTTCGTATACACTTTAGTTTAATTAAAAAAATCTACGCATTAATTTAGAGATCTAGAACCAGTTAGTTAAATTACATTTAGTTTTATATTTGTCAGAGCTAACTAATTAGTTATATTAGTAATACGATAAACATTTATTTCTGCAGCAGTTTATAATAAGTGATTGCAAATTTACTTTTGTAATGAAATTTCCATTTCATTCATGAAACTTCCATTGTAACTCAATTCTTCATTCTCAGCTGTATTTGTTTAATGCTATTACCCATATATATATATATATATATATATATATATATATATATATATATATATATATATATATATATAACAGTTTATCTTTCATCCTGAATATCTATATCATACTGCAGATACTTAAATAAATGCAAATAAACGTTTAAGTACTTATTTTTATGAACATGTAGAGGTAAACCTGAACGAAATAACAAAGCCTAATGGTTATTTTTATTACCTTTTATTACACTAAAATGCCTTTTATTAGCTAAAATGGTGTAAACTATAAATCTGATGATGGTCATATCGCAGATAATGTATATCAGGTTCTTATCAATTTTTGAGCCATGTTAACATTTGCAGGATTTAAATATTTGATCACACAGTACATTTTACAGGCTTAAGAGGTTATTTCTTGCATATAAATTATTTTAATTTTATTGAAATCCAACAATAAATGTAATTTAAAAAAACTTTGTTCTTAGGTTTTCTGGTTTTTGGGTTTGATTGACAACCTTTCATCATTTGGGAATTTGTTCTTGGAGGGATTCTTTTTCAGCATTAGAACATTACACTTTATTCCAGTTTCATGTCCATGGCAACACGTCAACCTTAAAGGCATAGTGGTCACACTTTACAATAAGGTTCATTAGTTAATGTTAAGTAATGCACTTACTAACATGAACAAACAATGAACAATACATTTACTACAATATTTGTTCATGCTAGTTAACGTTTTGGATGTTAATAATGCATTGGTAAATGTTCAATTATGATTATTAATGCTGTAGATGTGTTGTTTATGATCAGTTCATGTTAGTAAATGCATTAACTAATGAACCTTATTGTAAAGTGTTACAGGGATAGTTGATCCAAAAGCAAAAATATAGACTTAATTTAGCCTCAAGCCATTGAACATCTTTTTTTCTCTTCAGTAGAATGTTAAGAACATTTTAAGCTGAATTCATGATACTTGCCTTGGTGATTCATGTAATGAAAGTCAATGATCACCCAATAAACAAACACAAACAAGTCCACTCCATACCTGTGCCTTCTGATGATGATACACTGAGGAGATACACAAAAAAAATTGCTCTCACACACAGCTTATGCTCAACACACTCATCTGCATGTCAAAAATTGCTTGCCCTGGCTATGGATTAAAGCTAATATTACTGTAAATAATGTTCATATTATTGCACAGACCTCAGTGTATCTCTTGGAGCCACATGGATTGATTTGGACTTCTTTCTATGTGTTTACTCATAATCATGAAAACAGGTGACCGTTAAGTTATTCACTCATAATTTGATGATTGACTTATTAAAGAGCACCTATCATGCATTAAAACAGTCATATTTTGGTTTTAAGGATCTCCAAAAACAGCCTGATATGCATGCAAGGTCAAAAAACACTCATTGTCCTATAATATGCATTTATTTTTATCTAATTGACCCTTCGCTCAGCCCCGCCCTCCTTAGTTACGGTTGCTACACCTGTCAAGCTTTCGTGCCTGGCACGGCTTTTACATTGTGTAAGCGTCAGTGTCAGACATTACCAGGGATATAATTAGTCATTTTTGGTGAACAGGTGAAATATCCGAGAAAGCCAGACAAAAAAGCACTGCAGTCTGCATTACAGGGGTATATTTACCACATAATAGGCAACCGGTTAGAAAATAATTTAATCAAAATTAAAGCTAGCTTAGCCTAGCCGCCTCATATGCTAACCATTCAACAGCTTAGTTCATGCTCAGCTTCAGAGGTGAAATTTAAAAATAATCTAGTAATAACCGATTAAACTGTGATTTCTCTATTTTTAGCCAAAAATCCTGATAGATTAATGTTGTGCAATGAAATATAGCCTTACTAACCGATGAGGAAACATGCATGGACAGTGCTTTCACATAGGTAATTCATAGAAAGAACAGCCAAAAGGGGGAAACTGATGGATTTGTGGCAAATATTAGCATCACTGACCTATAACAATGTGCAGTACCTATTACTGTCAGTATGTTTGTGTGCTATTTATGAATCACTGAAAAACAGCTGCTGGTAAAGTACTGTATATTGGTCGCAAGTGCTCAGTTTGTGATCATACCTTTGTTTTGTTCTGTTGATTTGTCATTTCAAATATTTGTAGCTATGAAGTTCAGTAAAGTTAGCAACAAATTCACAGATTCCTATTTTCCGGATCATTAACTCATGTCATTATGACCTATTCGCTATTAGTATGACTAACGTTACTATGGCTAAGGCTTAAACAGAGCAGTGCTCATAATATTGAGCGGGAAAAAGACATAACATGTGAAACATAACCTGCTTTGTGTTTTTGTAGGAAACACAGTTTAGATCTGTTTAGGGTAAGAGGTGTGTGAGTTATTGCCGTCGGTCTATCACTGAATATGTCAGGAATATCAAAACAAAACCAACTTAACTCCGCTCCTTTAGCGCCCCTCACACAGCTTGATCCACGCTGGCATTTCTCCTCTTAAGTTTTTGGCTTTGAAAAGGGAAAAAATTCCACCATCCTGTCCAAACTTTAAGGATACCAGGTATAAGATTATATAATCCATATGCACAGCGCTTTAGTCTGTTTCCCTCGCTCGAAAGATGACAGAGCCCCTGCGCGCAGCTACGGTTGCTAAGCCACAATTGGTGGATGGCGTTTTTTGGGTGTGGCTTAGCGAAGGGTCAATTAACCCAGCGACTCATTTGTTCCAAAACCCCTCCTTAGCACGAATCTAATCTCACTGATTGGTCCGATAATGCAGTCTGTTGCAATTGGTTGACTGCGTTCAGCATGATACAGAGAGAAACGCCCACCACGGCTAATCAACATTTTTGTAGTCAGAGTGCAGAGTGCACTGTGTTGTAAATAAAATAAATAAATGAGTGAAAAGAAGAGAGAACCCAGTCCAGGAGACTCGGAACAAGCAGAATTCCTTTATTGAGACGTGTTGGTTAATCTTCAGTCATACAGCGTCTTTAAGATGTCCATGTGTCTGCAAGAGCCTACTAGAGGTCCGCAGTCTCACACAAGTCCGATTAAGACAAAGATTTCATGGCTATATTGTGTTCTTAGGAGGAGGGGACATGGCTAAACAAAGCATGCAAATTAAGAGTTGGAGTCAGCATGGCATAGGTGTTAAAAAACGGCCCAGCTACTGACCACACAAGTTAATCAACATAGGGTTTCTGTAGCATAAAAGCAACACCCGAAGACAAAGACAGAGTCGTTTAAAGCATTTGCATCACTGGCTTAGCCTGTCGTCAGAGAGATAAAGGTTAAATGTCCATCCTAGCTGGGATGTTAATGAAATTATATAATTAAAAAGCAAAGAATATAACTTTTCAGTTATACGTAGATTATTGTTCATTTGGAATTAGTTGATAGAAATTTATTTTTCTACAACTGTATGTGTGAACCCAATGCTGGATTGCATGAAAAATGCAGTTAAACACCAGCATATTGTTCTTTTCTTAACCATGACACACATTCAGTATTAATCCACACAGCTGCAAAAGCTGAACTATTTTGAAACTTGACCACCACATGTGTGTACACTCTCAGAAATAAAGGTACGTGATCTGTCACTGAGGTGGTACGTTTTCGAAAAGTACAAATTTGTAGCTAAAAGGTCCATTTTAATACCTTAAGGGTACATATTAGTATTATAAAAGTACGAAAGTGTTCCATTTAAAATTTGTAGGTACTAATATAGTATTGATATGGACCTTTTAGGTTCAAATTTGTACCTTTCGAAAAAGGTGCCACCCCAGTGACAAATTGCGTACCTTTATTTCTGAGAAAAGTTGACAATGATCATCAGCGACAAATGGCAGAGAATCATGAGCTCACAAACGCATAAATATATCCGTAAAGAAAGAGAAACATGGCGTTTTCAACATGGTTTTAGATGCGATATGAGAATACAATGTTTTAACCAGATACAGTACAATCAGTGTGGAGCGATTACAAGTAGCAAAACATAAGTAAATACATCATTTGCAAGCTAAAGAAAACAAGGAAGCAACCATTTTAATCGCACTTACTGAAACTTGTGAAATGGAGGAAGAAACTGATCCATGAACTGTATCTCCATAAGCTCTGACAAAGTCCCAAACATCAAAAGTGTTTTCTGATCCTTCATTTAACAAAAGGCTGACGAATCCCCCGTTGCAGGATAAGTTGTTGCATTAATCACCAGAACATTCACTCTTTAATATTCACTTATCTTCAATCATGATCAGTTCCACTAAGGCCGTACTCACACTAGGTACAGTTGCCTCGAACCGGCCCAAAGCACGCTAGTCCCCCCTCCCGTCTCCCCCGAGCGTCTTTAATAATCTACGGCAGTTTGCGATCACTGAACAGTAAGAATGATTAATAAATCCATATGAAACAGTGCCTTAAAAGTCACGTCTCACTTTCAGTTTCGGGCTTTGGCGCGTTTTGCACTCACACACAAGCGTACCGCGCCAAAGCCCAAGTGAACCGCGCTCAGGCACACCTCTTCCAACCGGGCCAGGGCCGGCCAAGTGTACTGTGCTTGAGCATGATTCAGCACACTCACACTTCTTAAACGATCCGGGAAACGGGCCTGGGCACGGTACTGATGGCATAGTGTGAGTAGGCCCTAACAGTGTTTAAAGGGAAAGGCGCATTCATGTTTTACCGGGTCTGGCACAGAATATTTGATATTGTTGCACGTCAATGTGAACAGGCAAAAGATCCAGACAAACTACAAATTATTTGAATGCCTCTTGACTCGAATCTTTTATTAACATATTGATGTTTTTAAAACAAGGAGCACTTTCAGATTTAAACCTCAGCTGGATGTTTTTATTCAGCTGTGTTGCACACTGCATGGAAGGTCATTTTCAAAAACCAATACGAGGGGCTCTTTAAATAAATCACCAAGGACTACAGATTCAGCTAAAAAACCTTCTTTAAAGTTCTATACTGAAGAAAGCAAAGCAATCACCAATGGCCTGAGGGTGAGTAAATTAACTTAACCAGTTTGCTGTTCTGCGGTGAAGGGGTCTTGCATTTTCCTCTTCACAATGCACATTGATTCTCTTAGTTTTAGGCTGAGCAAGTTTGCTGGCCAATCAATAAACAAATATTATTAGTTATTATAAATTAGTTACTAAAACTTACGTTTAAACAACTTGAAGAAACATCTCTCCATTAAACAGCACTTTAGGAAATATTTAAAAAATAAAAATGTCATATATAATTTAATGTACTTAATGTAATATAATAATAATGTATAAGTTTTTGGGGCACTCTTCAAGCCTCACTGCATCAAGAGGAAACTGGAGGAGTGTCTTAGTTAAAACCACAGTCTGTAATACGAGCCAAAGCAAAAGTGAAAGCATGAAAGCCCCTACAGTTTATAATCACATCAAAGCTCAAAACAGCAGCTGAAAGATGGAGAACTACCTGTACGATGTGTTTTTTGAGGCAGATAATCTCTCTGATCTCTCACTTGAACGCATAAAAAGGTACTTTAAAGTAAGGCGTCTATCTGGAGGAGGAGACTGTGAAATCTGCAAAGTGGAGAAAGACATCTACAAGATCAGTTTTGCAAATAAAAAAGGTAAGCATGCTCTATTTATTGAAATTTATTTATTTGTTTATATTTTTTAACTTTGAAACGTGTTGCATCTCACTTAGGCGGACTAAAAAGAACAATAAAATCAAATACATTCATAATCATGATCATTTTTGATTTTTGTATTCACAGACCAGGAAGCAGTGCTAGCCCGAGGAGATCATGTCATCAACACACCTGAAAAAGAGGACATCCGTGTTTCAGTAAGGTGTGACAATAATGCTAAAAGCAGAAAACAATCAAACGCATCTGCTAATCAGGTGAGAACCACAATCATAAAACAAACTGATATTTAGCTTGGATTTATAACTCTGTTTAAATTTGTTTTCTGCTAATATAAGAGGGCAAAACCTGTTTTTCCTGAAGCCAAGACAAAGGCCGACTCCCTACATTCTTGCAAACAATAGCTTGAGAAGTTCTAAGAATTCCCTTGCTTCACAAAAATCTATATATGGGTCTGTTTTTGTGTAATATTGTCAAATTTGTCCTTTAAGAGGTTTACATTTACATTTAGTCATTTAGCAAAGTGTTACCCAACCCTGTTCCTGGAAGCACACCAACAGTACATATTTTGGATGTCTCCCTTATTTGATCCAGGTTCGTTTTAGGTTTTGGAGTCTCTTCTTACGTTCTGATGAGAAGTTGATTCGGATGTGTTTGATTAGGAAAAAGTTGAAAATGTATACTATTGGTGTACCTTCAGGAACAGGGTTGGGAAACACTGAGTTAGCAGACGCATTTGTCCAAGTGTTCATTTGTCCATTTATCTAAGTGACTTAAATTTGAGGAGGCATTCAGCGATTCAACTAGAGGCAATACACACACAAGAAGTGCAACTTTTAGTGCTCAGAGAATTAAGTGCTAGAGTTGGGAATGGGTAGTGTTTTTGTTTTGTTTAATTTTTATTTAGAGAGAAAAAAAATTTTCCTACATGTGGTTTGTCAAACCCACTCACCTCTGTGGAAATCACTTCATAAATCACAAGTTTATTTATGTGAGATGTTGAGTGATGTTAAGAAAGTGTCAGGGGCAATACTGATGCAAGTTAAAATGACAGAAAGATGTCGAGTGTCCCAAGAGCCAGTTTCTGTGCTTGACGATTGGGTTGTCGTAGTCCTAATCTTCAAGCACCACCATTCCGCAATGCACCGGCCCCTTACGGTTCCCCCTGCAGGTGGTGTGCCGGCAGGAGGATGGTCCTACATCACTCCATCAGGTTGAGCATACCGGGATCTAAGAGAAAAAATCCAGCCACCAGGCACTTGCATACAAGCCCCAACCTCAGGCTTGGCTCCAGGGTGGGGCCTCAGCTGCGCCATACCGGGCGACGTCACGATATCTGTTATCCGCAGACAATTTTGTTCTGTTGGCTTTATCAAACATGGTACTTTAGCATGCTCGGGTGAGGTTTGCAGCCAAATATGACGTGGCTGGGATGAGAATCAGCACTTTCAAGTCCAAGGCCATGGTGTTCCACCGGAAAAAGGTGGTTTGCCTTCACCAGGTTGGAGGAAAGTCCTTACCCCAGATGGAGGAGTTCAAGTATCTCGGGGTTTTGTTCACGAGTGAGGGAAGGATGTTAACGTGAGATTGACAGGTGGATTGGTGCAGCAGCAGCAGTAATGTGGTCAATGTACCAGTCCGTTGTGGTAAAGAAGATGCTGAGCTGAAAGGCAAAGCTCTCGATTTACCGGTCAACCTACGTTTCTACTCTCACCTATGGTCATGAGCTTTGGGTCATGACCGAAAGGACAAGATCTCGCATATAAGCAGCTAAAATGAGTTTCCTTTGCAGAGTGGCAGGGTGCACCCTTATAGATCGTGTGAGGATCTCTATCACCCAGGAGAAGCTCGAAGTAGAGCTGCTGCTCCTCCGCATCGATCAAAGTCAGCAGAGGTGGCTCAGGCATCTGTTTCAGATGAGTCCCTAACGCCTACCTAGGGAGGTGTTCCAGGCATGTCCCACCAGTAGGAGGCCTCGGGAAAGACCCAGGACATGCTGGAGGGACTATGCCTCTCGGCAGGTATGGGAACACCTCGGGATCCCCTCGAAGGTGCTGGAGGATGTGTCTGGGGAGAGGGAAGTCTGAGGTTCTCTCCTAAGACTGCTGCCCTTGCAACCCAGCCCAGGAAAAAGCGGATGAAAATGAATGAATGAATAATGGAATAAATTAATGAATGAATGAATGAAAGGAGTGTTTTCTACAGGGGGTTTGTCAAGCCCACTCATTTGTGTGAGGCACACTCAGAATTGCATAATGTTCTTATGCTTGTCTTTTGACTGGTTTTGGCCTGTTGGGAGTTTATTTAATGGTGTAATGGTGTAATTTGTTTATTCTTTTAGAAATCTGCAAGCTCTAAAGGTGTGGAGAAGCTGTTTAAACTGGACCAATATCTTCTACGATTCCTCAGTGACTGTAAAAAGCCGTATTCAGAGTTGGAGAAACTCCTCTCAGCTCTTTCTAGCACCTTTGAGATCAACATTGAGACCGAAGAGTTGGTGGTGTTGAGGGACCCAGCAGGTGAAGATGCTTCTTCACTAAAAGAATGGGAACTTGGTGTGGACCAAGTGATTGAGAACCTAAAGATTCACAATAGTATCCACTTTGAGTTTGAAAGAGACAAATATGCAATTCTAGAAGAAAACTATTTCCTCCAAAATGAGGACTTAAAAATCTATTTTGAACAAGGCTCATGTGTGGCTGTGGTGGTCGGAGAACGAAATCAAGTGGACAAGATTTTGAAATTCACAAGCGACCTGCAGGAAAAACACCAGGTCAAAGATGAATGTCAAATCTCAGAGAAACGATTTGCCCTTATTAAAGAGCAGTTTGAGTCATACATAAACTCGGATTTACCTGCACTTCAGATTGCACCAAAGCGAGCAGGTGTAATCCTTTTGAAGGGTCCAGAGAAAGATGTCCAAGAAGGAAAAGAGAAGCTTGCAAAGTTGGCACAAGGGATCCAAGAGAAGAAGATCCCATCAAACACTGCCCTTATGAACTTCTTGGATTCAAGCGATGGTATAAAACACTTCCAGAGAAGATTTCAGCAGAGCCTCTGCAGCCCAGTAATGCTCGAGACTTCAGGATCAGATCTGCTTCTGTTGAGTTTGTCAGATGAAGCACTTCAGGAGGCGGCCAGAGTCATTAAGAGAGACCTGAGCTTAGAGATTATACATTTGGAAAACACTCAGAAGTCATCAGCGTTTACTGCGCTAAAGGAAGAGTTGAGTAAAGCGGTCAAGCAGGCCAATCGTGAAAGTGTAAAAGTGGAGCTTAAATACCAGAATGAGTCAAGCTCTGATGCCAAAGTGCAACTGGTCGGCTTCACTACTGAAGTTAATGAGCTGAAGAACATGTTACTTGAATATAAAAGAAATCATCAGATGCATGAAGTCCGCCTGGCACTTCAATTCCCAGAGATGGCAAAGCATTTCTCTGAGATCATGTCAATGGCTGGTGTCAAGAAGAACAGTGTGAAAATAAAGCCAACATGTTCATCTTCCCCATGCATCCACCTTAAAGGACCTCGCTGTGCAGTTGAGAGTTTAAAGGAAACCCTTGATTCATATCTCTGCAGTCTTGTGACTAAAAGATTTGAGGTGAAAGGACCTGGAGTTCAACCGTTTTTTCAAGGTGATGGTGCAGAGACACTGAAATTAGTGAAGAATTCTTATATGGTTGGGATTCTGCCCATCAATGATGAGCAACCAAGATATCAAGTGCCCAGTTACTCAACCAGCTTGAGTATTCTAGGCTCAGCATCTGCTCCATCAACCCATCAGTCTCCCGACTATGAGAATATAATACACATTAAAGTTGTGGTTGGAAGTCTTGAGCAACAAAAGGTATGTCTGATAAATTTCTCCATTTCAGAAGATCCATATTTTAACATACTTAATAACCCCTCACCACTTAGAAAAAACCAAAGTTGCTTGGTTGATTTATATACATTATGTACAGCAATTTGCAATAAGTGTAAATTTTAAATAAATTCTAGATACTTTTTAAGAATGTGCTAAATGTTTATTTCCATTAAATATTTGATCAGTCCTTCGCTTTTCTCTAATCTATGGTGAGAATGAAAACTGCAGACAGTCTTAAGGCCTTTGCACACCGAGACGTTTTTTGCTCGCGTTTTCCATCGACGACTATGCCTCGTGACTAAATAAAGGACGTCAATGTGATCGTGCACACCAGAAGCTTAAAGTTGTGTTGCGTCATCTAATGTCAAGGAGTGATTTTGCATACTCTTCTGCTTGCCGCCAGTGAAAATCGCTTGGGTTTGAATCCGGAAAAACGTCTCGTAGAACGCTGACAATAAACGCAAATGAAAAGCGTCCCGGTGTGTACGAGCCTTGACTGAAAATAAGATCCAATTTCTGGACCGCTGTAATTCATGCTTTAAAAACCACACAAAATAACGTAATTAATTTGTGATTTCTTTTTCATCATGAATACAGGCTGATGTGTTTGTTGTGCCAATGGTCCAAGCTAACATGACCTCAACCATGATTGGATCATCTCTGTTCAAAAAAGCAGGACAGCAGCTTCAAACTAACTTCAACACTGCGAAGGGTTGTCGAACTCTTACACCTGGAGACGTGCTCATAGTGGATGCCACACCAGGGTTGGGATGCTCAAAGGTGTTCTTCATCGAATGTGCACCAAAGGGGAAAAAACTAACTGAAAAAGTAAGAGGAGAAAACCTGAACAGAGGGTGTTTTATAGTATTGATTTGATATATATATATATTTTTGTTATAGGTACTTCGCTGTGCGCTTGTCTGTGTTTTTACACTATGTGAGCAGAATTCTTTTGGTTCAGTTGCACTGCCGGTTATTGGACCTGGAGAAGTGTTGTCCATACCAGTCAAAGATTCTGTTAATATCCTTACTCAGGAGATCTGTAAATTTTTATCTCAGCCCACTGTTTTCCTACACACCATCTATATCCCAATAATGCCTAATTACTCCCATTCTGAAGAGGTAAGCAATCAGTGTATTGCACGCTCTTCATACAATGAATTTTAGTAATGGTGGTTTCTAACTCTACTTTGAAAATCTTTTTCAGATGTTCCAGACAGTTCTTGGAAATCTGAGTACAAAAATGGTGAACAAAAAAGGACAAGGTAAGAGATTTAAAGGAACGCTATTTTTTTATTATTATTATTATTATTTTTAAAGGCTCATTTTCTAAGTTTCCTAGAGTTAAGCAGTTGACTTGCACCCTTTTAAGCCATTCTTGTTCTGGTGGGTCACTATTAGCTTTCTAAAAGTTTCTTTTTTTACTTCAACATTGCTAGAACTATACAGCTATATGGCTCTGAAAAAATCTAAATTACACAGAGTATAAGAATGGGCTACTTCAGAAGGCACTTGAAAACGAAAGAGATACGCTGTTGAACTCCATTAGAAAACACAACTGGTTTAGCATGATTTAATGTGTTCAGGCAATCAACAAAAAAGGACAAGGAAAGAAATTTAAAAAGGAACACTCCACCATTTTTTGAAAGAAGCTAATTTTGCAAGTCTCATATGGCTCATTTCTACCGACTGGTACAGTACGGTACGGGTCGGTACGGCTCACCTTTATCAAGCTTGCGTTTCCACTGCTAAAAGGGTACCAATGCAAACATCTCATATGTGTCTTTAATCTCCAGCAGCACATGTAGCCTCTGTTAGAGAGTCATTCCATCATTCAGAGTTCATATTAGTCCAAAAGGTGATGATAATAGTTAAACATGGCAGTTTGTTCATGTTTGCTGAAGAAATAATGTGCTCTTTTTTTTAGGCTTCTCCTTTGTTTTTTCGCGCTTCACTGTCGATTTTGTCTGACAGGATCGGGTTTCAAAAGCACCTCAATAATCAAGCGCATGTTATTATCATCAGCTCAAGAAGTTTGTTATTTCAAATATAGAAGCAAGAAAGCTAAACCGCTCGCGCTTCAGACTGGCTCGTAAAAAACTACGGAGCACAGGGTAAAATCTGCTCTTCTTTTTGGCTTTGTGGCTGTTCATCAAGACAACAACAAGGTTTGTTTGAGCCTGGGTCAACCATGGCTTATTATTATATGTATATATAATTACGCTGTGATCTCTCGGCTGTGAATTAAAACATGGCAGCTCCTTTGTTTTTATTCTGGCTTGTTGCATGAGCGAATGACGTATCTCTGTAAAAGAAATAGCGTTCAGCTGCGCGTCTAGCTCCGCCTTTTGGTACCCTTTCTCAAGTGTGGTACCCTTTCGAAAGGGTGCCAAAAAAGTGGTTCGGTTCGGTACACCTTTTGACAGTGGAAATTGCCATAAAAGCGTACCGAACCGTACCGTACCACTCAGTGGCAACAGGCCAACAGAGTTAAGCAGTTGACTTGAACAATTTTTGAGACAATTCAGATGATTTCTTGAACTAGCGGGTCACTATAAGCCTCACTTTGCATAATTTTTTTGTATCTGAAAAGTGAAAGTTTTCTAGATCAATATTGCTAGGAACTATACTCTCATTCTGGCTCTATGAACATCAAATCTATATTACGCTCTGTATGAGAATGGGCTACTTAAGAGGGGAGGTTTTAGCATGATTTGACATGTTCAGTCAACAAACCAACCAATTCCATTCAAAGAATTACAGTTGATAATAATTTGCTTAATTTTCCTTTGGCTTAGTCCCTTTATTTATCAGGGGTTGCCACAGCAAAATGAATTGCCAACTATTCCAGCATGTATTTTATGCAACGGATATGCTTCCAGCTGCAACCCAGTACTGGGAAACATTCATACACACTCATTCACAAATGTACACTACAGCCAATTTAGCGTACCCAATTCCCCTATAGCGCATGTCTTTAACTCTGGGGGAAACCCGAGCACCCAGTGCAAACCTACACCAACATGGGGTGTTTCTGATTGGCTAATTGACAACATTTGAGTTAATTGGAGGCACAACTGTTGAATAGCATTTAAGGAAAACCTCAAACACACTGCTTCCTTTTATGACAACATGGGGAAATCAACAAAAAAAAACCCAGATTACAATTTGCTAAAAAGAATCGTTTTTAGAGACATGTCCTGTGGTCTGATTGAACTAAGACTGAACTGTTTGGCCATAATGCCCAGTGTTACATTTGGAGGACAAAGGAGAAAGCTTATAAGCCTAGGAACACCATCCCAACTGTGAAGTATAGGGGCAGCAGCATCATGTTTTGCTTCAGGAGACACTGATTTACTTCAAAGCATAGATGGTATCATGAAGAAGGATGTAGAAATACTGAAGCAACATCTCAAGACATCAGCCAGGAAGTTAAAACTTGGCCACAAATTGGTCTTCCAGACAGACCATGACCCTAAGCACACTGCCAAATTAGTTCAAATGTGCTTTAAGGACAACAGAGTGAATGTTTTTTTTTGCCATCACAAAGCCCTCATCTCAATCCTTTAGAAAATTTGTGGGCAGAGTTGAAAAAGCTTGTGCGAGCAAGACAGCCAACAAATCTGACTCAGGGCCTACTCACACTATGCCATCCGTACCGTGCTCAGGCCCGTTTCTCGGATCGTTTGAGAAGTGTGAGTGCACTGAATCGCGCTCAAGCACGGTTCACTTGGCCGGCCCTGGCCCAGATGGAAGAGGTGAGCCTGTGCGCGGTTCACTTGGGCTTTGGCGTGGTACGCTTGTGTGTGAGTGCAAAACGCACCAAAGCCCGAAACTGAAAGCGAGACGTGACTTTTAAGGGACGGTTTCATATTGATTTATTAATCATTCTTACTGTTCAGTAAACGCAAACTGCCGTAGATTATTAAAGACGCAAACCCCTCACTGCACGACAGCTGCGCACCTTCAGCAGACCTGCAGCACGAGAGCATGTTGATTATGAGCGCCAAAAGCGGATCTGTTCGACGAAATATCTGACTGCGTGTCACCGCATCCCTAAGGACTGTTTGGCGAAATATTTGACTGCCTGTCACTGCATAGCAAACGACTGAAACGATATAACTAGAGAAATCTCCACTGTGCTGCTGAGTGAGAGCGCTTCTCACTGAACAGCGCAGCAGCGATGACGTAAACGTGCCGAGGCCCAATTGTGGTGTGAGTGCGGGCCGTCCGGGGGAGACGAGAGGGGGGACAAGCGTGCTTTGGCCCAGTTCGAGGCAACTGTACCTAGAGTGAGTACGGCCTCAGTTACACCAATTCTGTCAGGAGGAATGGGCTAAAATTCCTTCAAACTATTGTGAGAAGCTTGTAGAAGGATATCTAAAAAAGTAAACATTTAGTATGATTTATCATCAGACATATTTTTTAGACGTTTATGTTCCTTTTTTTAGAGTGTATGCAAACTTCTGGATTCAACTGTATATATATATATATATATATATATATATATATATATATATATATATATATATATATATATATATATATATATATATATATATATATATATATATATATATATAACAACAAACAACAAACAAACAAATTAAATAAGCTCATAAAAAGGGCAGGTTCTGTTGTGGGGTGTGCACTATCTACCATAGAAGAGATTGCACAGGATCGAATGCTGGACAAATTTGTTACATATAATGAACCACGATAGTCATCCCCTTTTTGATACAGTCCAAGCGTGTGCAAGCTCTTTTAATACAAGATTAATTCAACCCCGGTGCTACAGAGAAAGATACAGGAAGTCTTTTTTACCAACAGTGATCAAATTGTATAACCAAAGTCATACCAGATGAATTGTGCTGAACTTGAATTAGATATTGGATATGTACAAGTGTTTACTCGTTGTTTTTGGAACCAAGGTGTGCTGTATGAAATGTAATCTTATTATTGTTTTTATATGTATGTAACTTATTTATCTATTTTTAGTATGGAGAGCTCTGCTGTGACATGTGAATTTCCCTCCGGGGATTAATAAAGTTAAACTAACTAACTAACTAATATATATATATATATATATATATATATATATATATATATATAATTTTTGTTTTATTTATTTATTTATTTTAATGGTTCAAGCCAACTGTTTAACTCTAGGAGACTTGCAAAATGAGACTTAAAAAAAGAAAGGTGTAGTGTTAGAGCTATTAGAGTTGTGTTCAATAAGCATTGCTATTTGGACATCCTAATCAAAAACAATGCATTCCAAAATGTAAATTAGTAGACAATTAAATTAGTAGCTATTGCACGAGTACAGATAATAATTAATATGAAAATTCACAAATTGGCAGCATCTTAAGTCCTTACAACAAGCCTGACAAAAAAAAAATGTTTTTATATCTGCACATCTTCCTCTGTCATCACAGCTCTGTTTCACTCACTGACCTCTGACCTTGATGAGATCACCATGGCAGTGAATGGGATCCAACTCCACCTAGTGTTTGGTGACATCACTAATGAGACGACTGATGCCATCGTAAACACCACAGACTTTAAAGACTTCCAGACAAACGGTACTCACGCAAACTTCTTAATACAATAACCCAAAAACGTCTCAATATTTGGAATTGTTTAGACAAGTAGAACTGGTTTGTTTTTGGCTTATTAACAGGAGTGTGTAAGGACATCCTCACTAAAGCAGGACCTCGTGTTCAGGGTCAGCTGAAAGGAGGTAAGAAAATAAATAAACCATCATCTCTTTTAGAATTTTTTTATTGATTTATTATGTGTACAATAAGAGTTTTTGGGGCAGTATGGAAAACGCAAATAAAAAAAAGAAAGAAGTGACTTCTAAATTTACTTTGACTTGTATTTCATTGCAGATAATGTGAAAAAAATTATTCAACTTGTTTTGAATATTAATATACTATTTATATATAACTTAAATTATGAACTAAATTAACTTAAAGTAAAGTAACATTTACTTAAATTATGAACTAATTTGTAAATGTACATCATTTCTTGTCATTCAGACCTGCAACATATTTTTAAAAAAATGGGACAGGAGTAATTTAGGGCTGGTAATCAGGTAAATTAGTTGATGTGATTTGAAACAGGTGGTGTCAACAGGTGATTGTAATTATGATTTGGTCAAAAGCAGCATCCAAGAAAGGTCTAGTCCTTTAGGAGCAAAGATGGGCAGAGAATCGCCAGTTTAACAGCAAAAACACGAGAAAATTCTTAAAATGTTTAAAAACAAAGTTACTTATAGAAAGACATGAAGACTTTTGCATATTTCACCTTCAAGTGTGAAGAACATCATTAAACACCTCAAGAAATCTGAAGAAATGTTAGTCTGTAAACGACAAAGAACGCAAGCCTAAGCTGAACAACTATGATCTTTGATCCCTCAGTTGGCACTGCATCAAGAATCCTCATTCATCTATAAGGGATATCACCACATGGGCTTAAGACTACTTTGGCAAACCTTTGTCAAGTACCACAATATGTAGTTACATCCACAAATGCCAGCTAAAACTGTACTGTGCCAAAAAGAAGCCCTATGTTAACAGTGTCCAGAAGCGTTGTCGTACTGTGGTCGGATGAATAGGCATTTCAGGGTATTTTTAGGAGAAATTGATGCCGTGTGCTCCAGAATAAATTAGAAAAGGATCATCCAGACTGTTACCATCGACAAGTCCAAAAGCCAGGGTCTGTCATGGTCTGGGGTTGTGTCAGTGCCCTTGGCAAAGGTAACTTGTACCTTTGTGATGGAACAGTTAATGCTGAAAGTACATACCTGTAGAGATTTTGGAGCACAATATGCTGCCTTCTTTTCCAGGGCCCCACATAAATATTTGAAACAAGACAATGCTAAACCACATTCTGCACACATTTCAGTCCTGGCTGGGGAAGAAGAAGATTCAGGTACTTGACTGGCCTGCCTGCAGTCCCAACCTGTCTCCAATAGACATTGTGGCTCATTTTAAAGTGCAAAATGTGACAACGAACTTACTGTTGCCCACCTTAAGACTTCTTTACAGGAAGAAAGGGCTAAAATGACACCTAAAACACTTCATCACTTGGGGTCTTCAGTCCTTAAATGGCTTTTAAAAGTAATGGCAACATTACAGAGTGGTAAATGCTTTACTGTTCCAACTGTTTTAAAATGTTGCAAGAACCAAAAATGAAATGTTTTTTTTTTAAAGACAATGTGATGAGGAACATATTGAATAACGTTTGTTGTATTGTCTGCAGTGAAATATAAGTTTTCCATACTGTCCTAACTTTTTCTGATTTGGGGTTGTGCATATATGCTTATTTAAATTGAGTGGAAACAACACTTTTCTTGATATTTTTTAGGGACAACATAATTGTTTTATGTTTAGTCTATTTGAATATGTTACGTTAAGTTAATCGCTTTGTGGTGGGAGAACATGCATTTTACATGATGTACATGTGTGTGACATGCAACTATGTGATTTAATCTTAAAATAAAATCATCTTTATAAACATAAAAAACAAAAATTATATAAGCGCAATTCTAAACCTATCCGTAATTTATGTATTTCAGCTCAACCCGCAAGTGGAAAGATCTTTACGACCCCACCAGGAGGCTTCCCATGTAAGACCATCATGCATGTTTGTGGAGAGAGAAGCCCCAGCGTCATCAAGACCTTAGCAAAAGAAATAGTGGTTCAGTGTGAGAGCGGCCAGTACCAGTCTGTGGCCATTCCTGCTATCTGTGCTGGTCAGTACTGTAGTTTCATTTGCACTTCATGCAGTTGCCATTTTCTGTTTTACTCAGAAATAGAAATAGGCTTGCAAATATAATTTATAGGGAACCTATTAGGTAAAATCACTTTTATGTGTTGTGTGGCAACAGTCTATATATAACCAGCTTCTAGTGGTAAAAATGTATTCGTTTGATTTTATTATAATCACGCTTGATATAAACAGTCTGCAGAAACACTTTGACATCCTCTCTTTGTGCATGTCATCAGAGGGGAAAAGCCCCGCCCACTAGTGACCATCTCTCCCTCATTAGAATATAGAACACGTCTTGTTTTTGAATCTGCCACTATGCTGACACACAGGCATTTGTAGCCCCGCCCTCTTTTGAAAAGAGCACAATCTCATTTAAATTTAAAGCGACAGTCACCAAAACGGCAGAATTTGGATCAAAGCCTGAAAGGGTCAGTTTCTAAGAGTTATAAAACATGATCGGTGGGGTTTTTTGAGCTGAAACTTCACACACACTCTCTAGGGACATTAGAGACTTACTCTACATTTACATTTAGTCATTTAGCAGACGCTTTTATCCAAAGCGACTTACAAATGAGGTAAGTCTACATCTTGTAAGATTTGCACTTTGATCTGTATTTTGCACTGTCTGGAGCCAGCACCTAAGCTTTTTACTCATCATAGCACACGTGCTGCTGCTGATGTGACAATAAAAGTGATTTGATTTGATTTGATTTAAAAAGGGCATAATAGGTCCCCTTTAGGAGCCAAAAATTGTCTTTCAAGATTTTGTCTTGCATGAAGTGATGACATTTGTGATAAAAGTGCAACATGCATTATTACAGTAAGTATAGTCTTCTAAATTGATTGACACTTGGCTATTTTGTGTCATTGTTTATTTGAATAACCATCATTGTAATTTGTATATCTAGAAATCTGTTGTTAAGTTAATGGATTTGTAGATAATTAATATTAAAATAATGTCTCCACCTTGGATGCATTGGGTTTTGTCCTGGTTAGATGTGGTTGCAATAGGGCTGGGGCATAAAACTGGTATTGATATTTATTGATCGAACATCATTGTCAATATTGATAAAAAAAAGTTTCTGTATAAAGTTTTGCTATGAAGCGCTAATTTTGCTGCTGAGCGTGTGCCTTGGAAGCAGTGCCAATAAGCTTAGGGGTTAAGTTTGTCATTTCCAATGAAGGCGTCTTGCACGACTCCAAATTGTGTCGTTTTGCACTACCAGCCGCACCTAGTTAAAAACATCTCAACTTTTCAGAATGCCGCAAACATACTGAGATTCATGCACGTAGAACTTATCAATCTGCTTCACACTTTGTATGGAATATACTAGGGATGTAACGGTATCAGAATTTCACGGTATGGTAATACCTCTGTATGAATGTCACGGTACGGTATTTATTGAATCATTTACAGGAAAAAACAAAACTTATGAAAATACTCCAAAAAAGTGCCAAAAGTGTCAATGACATACAAATTAGCCATCTATCTGTAAGCTTTGAAACAGGAACTTCAATTTTAATAACAAAAAAATATTAAACCATGTAAAAAAAATAAAGTTTCAATTTAGTATTGTTGAAAACTCATCACATTCAACATTTAATCACTCACTCACTTAGATAGAGATGGGTTTAAAGGAAAATTATCATATAAATATAATCTGGTAAAAGCTGGTATCTCTGGGCATTTACAATGTCCCCTGCAACAGAAAAAACCCTCTCATTTGGGACTGAGGTTTCTGGGACAAGAGAGATATGACTTGGCCCAGGTTGACAGCAGTGAGTAACGTTGTGCATTGTCTTTCCCCCACTTGAGAGGACAAACCATGAGTAAGATAGAGATCTCATGTCTGCATCAATCTGAACAGTGTGCTGACAACACCGCTATTCAGTACGCGCGCGACAACACAGCTGATAAGAACTCGCGCGACAACACAGCTGATAAGAACTCGCGCGACAACACCGCTATTCAGTACGCGCGCGACAACACAGCTGATAAGAACTTGCGCAACAACACCGCTATTCAGTACACGCGCGACAACACAGCTGATAAGAACTCGCGCGACAACACCGCTATTCAGTACACGCGCGACAACACAGCTGTTAAGAACTCGCGCGACAACACCGCTATTCAGTACACGCGCGGCGACAACACCCGCTTTAGAGTTTTACAGCTCTTTTTCATCCCCGCTTCCAGCAGCACACTCCATTTCCGCATTACTGGATCTGTAGCGACAACAGACCGCAAGGGATGATGGTCAAGCATGGGCTGATGGGAATTGTAGTTTTCGCTACCTCCCGTTCGCTTCATTCGCCTGAGCAAATTTTCTCAGAAGACCTATAGTTTTACCGAGTCATGTGACTTCGGTAATATCGAAAAAAATTAATATTGCGGTATGACGGTATTTACAATACCGTTACATCCCTAGAATATACACATTTCAGTAATAACGGCAGACTTATTACTTCAGACAAACAGCACACCCAAACACTGCAGCGCTTATTTAACTTTTCGCCATGAACTTGCATCGGAGCTGCAGCAATGATTTGTCCAGTTGTCATCCTCTAAAAAAGCAGTTGATGATCGAACACATGCGAAAATGAGTGCCATGTAGCAGCAGTGAGGAGATTGTTAATAAAAAAGTATGTAAGGATGTTGCCAGAGTGGCTTTTTGGTTTCTTTTCTTGTGCATCCCAGCCACTAGCTCCCCATCTGAAAGATTTTTTTTAAGATAAGGGGTAATGTAGTCATACAACTTCACAATTAGTAGTGTTGCAGTATGTATTTGAATAAATATGGATGATTCCTTTACTTGAAAGCTTAGATTTCATGATCATTGTTATGACCGTCGAGGGGTCGATCACAACAGAAAAGAAAAGAGAGCCAATACCAGAGAGAATTTGAATATAACAAGCTTTGTTTATTACAGGAGATAAGGATATCTCTTCAGGGAAAGACCAAACGTTTCTATACATACCAAACAAATTTTAAACTCTCTCTGGCATTTTGCATAGGGGTGTGAAAAACGGAAAAATACGCTGGAGAACCACAAAGGCCCACAAAGTTAATGCATACCTTAATTAAAAGAAAGGCCTCGATCTGTGCCCCAGCATGTCCATTTATTCAGGGTAGGTTAAGATGAGAATCAATCAAATACATCATTAAATTTCTTCCAGAAACCAACTTCGTTTAAACAAAAGCATAGACGCGCAGAGAAAACACAAGATGGCAGGATAAATCCACACACCTCAACTAAATGTCATAACACTCATAATTAGTTTTGTTTACAGAGTTGATGTTTATCATTATTATTCACACTTTAAAGTTTGCATTGTCAGTTCAATACTTATGATTTTCCATTGTACACACTTTGTAACAATTTATCAAATTTAAGAGTCTCTTTAACGCTAATGTTTATTTTATTATGAAGGGATCATATATTTAGTGTAAATATTTTTAGTTTTTGACAGTTAAAACTATTTCCCTTTGTAATGCTGGTTAATTTAAATAAAGTGGTTAAATAACAAAAAAAAAAAAACTAATATTCCTCAATGGATTGTAAAAAAAATGTATTCAATACTTATTGATATTGAATGTTATGAAACTTGATATTGTGATAATCACCCAGCCCCAGGTTGCAAAATGCATCCATATAATGTCAAGGCAATGTTTGTGTGCTTTACAGGACAAGGAGGTTTGGATCCAAATGTGGTGGCCAAGTCTATTCTAGAGGGAGTGAAGGAGGGTGTTCAAGGAGCGAATCTTCAATATCTCAGAAATATTCGCATCGTTCTGCTGAAGATTAATGTTTTCCTGGAGTTCAAAGAGGTGGCACTGCAAGTCTTTGGTGCCAATACACAGATGACAGGTGAGGATAACAAGCCGAGTTGATGAAATGTGTTGATCTCGTGCATTTGAATGCACTTTTGCACTTTTGCATTTGTGCATCTGACTGTGACACATCATTACATGAGTGAACAGATTTGGACAGCACATGGCTTTAAAGGAATGGGATGGAATTAGGTGCATTTTATAATCGCTGGAGGTCAAAAAAACAAAGCTAAAACAAAATTCTTTTGCATGGCTCTTGTCATTATATAATTTTTGATAGCAAGTAGTCCCTTGATGGTGGCTTAAGAACACATTGCAACGTGCCTACTTATATATATATATATATATATATATATATATATATATATATATATATATATATATATATACACACACACACACACACACACACACACACACAGTTGAAGTCAGAATTATTAGCCCCCCTTTGAATTTATTTATCTTTTTAAAATATTTTGCAAATGATGTTTAACAGAGCAAGACAATGTTCACAGTATGTCTGATAATATTTTTTCTTCTGGAGATAGTCTTATTTGCTTTATTTCAGCTAGAATAAAAGCAGTTTTTAATTTTTTTAAAACCATTTCAAGGTCAAAATTGTTAGCCCCTTTAAACTATATATTTTTTCGATAGTCTACAGAACAAACTATCATTATACAATAACTTGCCTAATTACCCTAACCTGCCCAGTTAACCTAATTAGCCTAGTTAAGCCTTTAAATGTCACTTTAAGCTGTATAGAAGTGTCTTGAAAAATATCTATAAGAGTAATAAGAGTTTCCATAGAAAATGAACATTTTCCTCAGCCTCCTTTGTTCATGTTGAGATATTTCAATTTAAAGACCAGTAAAAGGACTTCTTCTTTGCCATAAAAGGGATGTTACTGAACATACACACAGGAACCTGATAAAAATGCTCATTTTAGAGGAAAATTTCAGACGCCATTTAGAAGTTTTTGCATCTAAACTCTAACTCTATATAACTCTATACTTATATATTCTAAGTATATATATAAATATTATTTGTTTCTTCATTTTTACCCAGATAAAAATTCACTGAGATCAAGATCTCATTTACAAGGGTGACCTGGCCAAGAGGTCAGCAACATGTGACTTAATACTAATAGAATAGAATAGAAATAATAATGAATAAAAAGTAAAGATAATATAGAAAATACAGTTTAGTTGTTCAGCTATATCACATTACAATATCAAATACACATACATTGAGAAATGGACTGCCGTTGTTTATTATAAAGGATACAGCAAAGTGATCTGATTCGGATGAGCTCAGACATGTTTTAGACTGAAGAGTATTTCAGGATGAGGGGCGGCATGACTATAGGCTTGCCTCCCCATTTCAGTTTGAACCCGGGGAACAGTCAAGTGATTAGATTCATTTGAACATAGGGCATACTGACTTTATGACCTATCAAGAAGGGAACATAGGGATAACGGCACCAGACCCAGAAGAGCCTTGTAGACCAGAGTCATCCAGTGGGTGTACCTTCTTACATTCAGAGAAGGCCACTCAGGTTTGGCATACAGTTCACAATAGTTTGTTAGTCTACGATATCCTGTAACAAACCTCGAAGCGCTGACATAGAGTTTAAAGTTTAAAGGCAAAGTAATGCAGGTTACGTAATTTAAAAGTAATGAGTAACGTAATGTATAACTTAAAAAAACTAAACAATAATATTCGAGCTAATTTTTAAAATAAATAATACAAACAGAACAAAAGCAGCAAACACATTGCTTTAAACTTTCATTAATCTCTGTATACGACATGTATAGCTCTGGCGTCACAATGTTCTCAGAATATAAAATTATTACTAATTTATAATTTGAAGTGTTTATTTAAAGGTAAATGAAGGTGTAGGTTATATAGTGGGATGTTAATTGCAGAGCTCCTCTATTAAAAATAAAAGTTCTGAAAGAGATCAAGCCAGGTATTGTAACGTATTGCAAAAGTAACTCGGAAATATGTAACTCATTGCTTGCCATAAAAAGTAACTAAGTAACACAACTAGTTACTTTTTTGGAGAGTAACTCAATATTATAATGCATTACCTTTCCCCAAAACTGGGAGGTGATTGGCTCAAGGTTGCAGCTTTCTAATTCACAATACTTCACTTTCACTTCTTTCAGCTCCTGCTCCTCTTGTACCTACAAATGTACCCACCAGAGGGCGCAGTGCAACAGCAATGTTGACCAGAACTCAAGCACCTTCTTTACCAGCCACACCTGACTTGAGTTATCTATTGGCATCTTTGCCGGACACAGAGGACAAGGCAGCATTCCTGGTAATTGGTGACCGTGATAAAGACGTGTCTGATGCCTGTAGAGAGCTTCAGCGGGCGTACGACAGTCAGTGTTCAACACAGTCATTCCACTCTGATGAGATTGAGCGTCTTACTACGGATGAGCTGGACAAGCTGCTGTCTAAAGTAGATTCACTGCACCTTCAGCTAAAAACCAACAGCTCTGGAGAATGGGTGGTAAAAGGGCTGAAAGATGGAGTGAATGAGGTGGCGAGACTGATACGAGATGCACTTCGCAGACAGGTGAGAACGTAAAATGTCAAAATTCTGCCAAAAAAAATCTTTTCAAGCCACACAAGTGCACACATTTTCCACCCAAATGTATTTGTATAGCACTTTTCACAATAATTTTTGTTCCAAACTGCTTTTAAAGGTGCACATTATGTCATTACAATCAAATTTAGCAAAAATTAAGGTTATTAGTTACCACAACTTTCAATAATTAGCTAGTAAATAATAGCTTTTAAAAGTTAAAGTTATTAAATATAAGCATAGTTAACCTGCAGTTATATAGTACATGGGTGATGTCTATGTGTCCACGTTTAATAAAGTCATGTTGTCCTAAATGGTTGGCCTCCGGTCTTCACAAGTCATGGATCACATCAATGGCACTATGCAATCTCTAGAGGCCTTGAGACAGGTATCCACAGGTGGAAATGTAGAACAATGTAAATAATTAGCTTAGCTGTTGTCCATAATGTATTTGAACAAGAGATATTGAATGTCAATGTGAAAATGAAGTGCTATAAATGAAAATATGAGTTATATAAACAAACATGGAAAGAAACTAGTGCTGTCAAAATTAGTGCGTCAACGAATGCGATTAATTCGAAAATTTTAACGCATTAAAAAAAATTATGCAATTAACGCAGTTGCAGTTTTTTTTTACTTCCTGTTGTGGTGGACGTGTTCAACATGCGAAGAAATATGGATAAGACCAAGGAAGCACTTTTTGAAGGCAAGTTTACTTAGAAGGCAATACACTCAGAAAGTCTCTGGTGAAGTCGCGAGCTGTCAGACAGCGCATTACTCTGCCTTTCAGCATGAGCCCTCCAATGTTTCATTTAAGTTTAACGTGTTTCCTCATTAAACGCAACGAAAGCATCTGCTTCGCGTTGTTGTGTCAGAATCCTTGTGAAACACAACCATACTTAAGAACGTTTAGTTTAAGCAAATTTGATGAACGCAGCCACTCCATCGCGTTGTGTGTTTGTGTCTGTCTGTTTGTGTATCTATGTCAGGCCCATTGAGGGCTGCCAGGGGTTGAGTGAGCGACGAATCTGAGTAGGAACGTGTGCGCGTGAGACGTACCTGAGGAGCGGTGGGGGTGAGTTGCGCGCAATGTACCTGTAGAGCTAGGAGGGATGCGGTAGAGGGGTGTGCAACGTATTTAAGGACCGGGCGGGAGATGCGCGATTTCCGGGAGATTATCTGTAATGATTCGTCACAGAGATTGGGATCCATCGTGCAGTTTTATTATAACAGTAATCAAACAACGGCAGAGAAACAGAATCGTGGTCATCAAAAGGCAAATGGTCAAGGCTGGCAGCAAGGGATCGTAAACGGTAAACAGGCAGGGTCACAACGGGAAAATCAAAGTAGAATATAAACGCTCAGAAATGTCAACGAGTAGCAAACAAGACTTCGCAAAGAATGAAACAAACCAGTCTGCTTAAATAGATGGCGGAGTGATTTCGGCTGGACCCGTAATCAAGCAGACACGGGGTAGATGGGAAATGTAGTGGAGAAGGAACTGTCTGTTAATAATGAGGTGAGGGTGCCCTCTGCTGGTTAGAGGAGGGAATCAGGGAGTTTGTCTCTGTGACGTTATCATTCATTTGAGGGCATCCAGGAGTCTCTGTGCATTTGCGGGATACTCCTAGTCTTAGCAACTGGATGAATGTAAAGAAGGAAAATTGAGCAAAATGTCAATCAATGTCCTCAACTCACACCAATACAACTTTACAATGAGTGCAATTGCTTGAATTCAATACTTTATTATCATAATTTTCCAATTTCCATATCTGCAGTGCCTGTATTTTGCCATTTTTTTGCAGTCCACTTAGAATCCAACTTGGAAATCAGTGTTTTCTTTATTGGCATTGATTGTTTTGAAATTTAAATGTCATTAACATGCCTGTGTTTTTATTTCTGTAATAAATATGGCTGTCATGCCAGGATCTTGATGGTTTATTGTGGGTATGTTGTTTACATGAAGAAATCTGTGTTACAAGTTAAACAAAAATTCTAATAAACAATTATATTTAGAATTTAAATAGTTTTTGTCTTCCGTTTACATAAATTTTACATTTGAATAGTCAAAACTACAAGTTTCAGTCTTTTAAATGTGATTAATCGTGATTAATTTTCAAAAAAAAAGGTGCGATTAATTAGTTATTTTTTTAATCGATTGACAGCACTAAAAGAAACATATACAACACAGAAGTATTTTTAACAAAGTGCCTGGTGTATTAAGGGAGGAAGAGTGTGTCCTACAGACTGCAGTCAAGCCTACACCTCTGAAATTGCTTGACTAAAAAGATAAGTCTGTAATCTAGTTTTGTACTGAGAGTGTGTCTGAGCCTCGGACATTATCAAGAAGGCTATTCCAGAGATTTGGAGCCATATATGAGAAGGCTCGACCTCCTTTAGTGGAATTTGCAGTAATGTCAAATAATATCTATTTGAATGCATTTTTCTTTATTATAAATTATTTTGATGATTCAAAGCTGAGTGTCATTTCAGAAATCATTCTAATGTGCTGCGTGCATAACCAAGAAACTGCTATTATTATCATGTTATTGTTTTTTTTGTTTTTTTTTTTTAGTACAAATTTGTTTTGGTGATTCACATTCCCAGTGTATGCACCAACATAAAGAGACTCTCATGATATCCTCAGTCCTTCCATAATCCATATCCATACGTAAATAAGAACCTTGCGATTTTAATGTATAATTTTCTATGACTTCCTACGATTTACTCCCCTGATTTTTTTTTAACTTTGCTATCTAGAGGCTGTTATTGCATAAAAAATATTAATAGGCCTACAACTGATATAAGATCTCTCAGGGAGTAATTTTGAGCCAGTAATATATTCTAAAGTGTCAAAATCGATTCATTTGTGGTGAGAACATGATCCAAACTAACACAGCCCCAACCGTAAAAAAAATGTGCGCCTTTTTGGACTAATCCAGCTGCAGTAGGTTTATGCTCTGTCCCATCTTATGGGGTGTGGAGAAAAAATATTTGTTGATAGTGCTTTAGCAACTGTTTTAAACAGAGAGAGAGAGGGGGGGACCATTTCCCGATGGATCGTTGGTAATATTTCCAGTAGATGACCATGTCGCAGTTTAGCTAAATTGATTCACGCCACATCCTGAAGTGAGGCACGATGCGCCTTCGCCATTTGCAATGCATTAAAACATTGTTTTCCAGCCACAAATATATAGTTTACGTTCTCAAAATGTGTAATTTGTCTAAAGCGATGTATACAAACTTTATAGTATACTATGACCAAGGATACAATAAGCCAGCAGAAGTCATCCCTTCATAGTAAAAAGTGACATTTTGTGTCTGTTGGTTTGTTTACTTGTGAGAGTTCCCCTGGCATTTTTCTGCCTGTTAATTCTGACCAATCGAAAAGCAGTTTAGGAAATACGTTCAATAACATCCGGCCAATGAGGGATGTGGATTTTGTCACATGACTGCTGTTGTGATGATTCAGAAGCCATTGGATCCATTTGCAAGCTTTATTGGCACAATCACACAACTGTAACAAATAGAGGGGCGAACCAGGAATCAGACTGTAGAACAGGCAGAGTTCGGGGCAGGCAGAGAACATTCACAATTGATAAAGCAGGCTAGAGTTCAGGGCAGGCGGATAACAATCACTGCCGATGAGGCAGGCTAAGAGTTCAGTACACAGATCAGGCAGAAATGTAATGAAAAACCTCAGTAATGACTGTCAAGTCAAGTCAAGTCAACTTTATTGTCAATCAAACCATGCAACAGTACATTACACAGCAGACTGAAATTGCGTTTCTCCCATACTCCAATGTGCAATTTAAAAAACAAAAATATGACACACACTAGACATAAACTAAACATTTAACTAATATAGTACAAGATGAATTAAATAATAGACACTAATAAACTGTGAACAGTTACCATATATCCTATTGTTCCAGAATATGACCAAGTTGAGGTATTTATTGTAGTGCAATTAGGTGCAGTATGGCAAAAGTGCAAAGTAGCAGCTTAGAGGTAAGTGTATTTTGTAAACATGTTACACGTGCAAGGAATATTAATATAAAAACATTGAGTTTGCTTTTCTCACAGTTCCACAGATTTTTGTGTGTGTGGGCTGTGGATTGTGATTTTATAATCCAGTTTTCATGAGTGAGTTGAGCAGTCTAATAGCTTGAGGAAAAAAGCTATTTATGAGTCTAGTAGACTTGCAACGCATACTGCTGTAGCGTTTCCCAGATGGTAGGAGAGTGAACAGTTTATGTGTGGGATGGGTGAAGTCTTTGATGATGTTTGTAGCAACGGAGCGGGTATATGTCCTGAATGGATGGTAGGGCTGATCCGATTATCTTCTCAGCTGACCTCACCACCCTCTGTAGAGCTGTCCGGTCAGCAGCAGAGCAGCTACCATACCAGACTGAGAGACTGCTGGTGAGAATACTCTCAATGGCACCTTTGTAGAAGGTAGTGAGTGCCGGTGGAGGGAGGTTAGCTCTTTTCATCCTGCGCAGGAAGTGGAGGCGTTGGTGAGCTTTCTTGACCAGAGAGGTGGTGTTGGTAGACCAAGACAGGTCATTGGTAATATGCACCCCCAGGAACTTGGTGCTTTTCACTGACTCTACCACACTGCCATAGATGGTGAGGGGGGGGGGGGGTGTGACCTGTGATTCCTCCTGAAGTCCACAGTTATTTCCTTTGTTTTATTTACATTGAGATGTAGATTATTAGTGTCACACCAGTTGATGAGTTGATGTACCTCATCTCTGTAGGCCGAGTCGTCGTCGTTGCTGATGAGGCCCACAACTGTCGTGTCATCTGCAAATTTGATGATGTGATTTGAGTTGTATCTGGCACCACAGTCATGAGTCATCAGTGTGAACAGCAGAGGACTTAACACACATCCTTGAGGGACCCCAGTGTTCATGATGATGGTCTGTGAGGAGTTTTCACCGACTCTTACTGTCTGTGGTCTGTTGGTGAGAAAATCTAATAACCAGTTGCACAGTGGGGTGCTGATGCCTACAGCTCTGAGTTTTCCCACCAGGTGTTGTGGTATGACTGTGTTAAAGGCAGAGCTGAAGTCAATGAACAGCATCCGCACACAGCTGTTTTTGTTTTCCAGATGAGCCAGGCTGAGGTGAAGTGCTGTTGCTATGGCATCATCAGTGGAACGCTTGTAACTATAAGCAAACTGGAAAGGGTCAAATGTGGCAGGTAGGCTAGATGTTATGTGAGCCTTAACCAGCCTTTCAAAGCACTTCATTATGATGGACGTAAGTGCTATAGGCCGGTAGTCGTTCAGTGTTGTGACTGGTGATTTCTTAGGTAGCGGGATGATAGTAGTAGCTTTGAAGCTTTCTGGTATAATGGCTTTACTCAGAGAAATGTTAAAAATATCTGTGAGAACATCTGTAAGTGAGTTTGCACAGTCTCTAAGCACACGCCCAGGTATATTATCAGGACCAGCAGCCTTCCAGGGGTTGACCTTTTGAAGGGTCCTCCGCACATCAGCAGGGTCAAGTTGAAGTATTACATCGTCCACACAATGTGGAGCTTTTGTTGGAATGATGTTGTTGTTTTCCTCAAAACGGCTGAAGAATGAATTGAGTGAGTTTAAGAAGACTGTGCTGTCCTCACACGGTGGAGGTATAGGCCTGTAGTCTGTTACTGACTGGATGCCTTGCCAGAGGCGTCTGGGGTCATTTATGTCAGTAAAGTGTGACTGGATTTTTCGTCCATAGGCACGCTTTGCTACTCTCAGGCCCCGGTTCAAGTTGGCCCTGGCAATTCTGAGGGCCTCTTTGTCTCCGGACTTGAAAGCTACATTCCATGCTTTTAGAAGCTCACAAACCTCCCTGGTGAACCATGGTTTATTGTTTTCCCTTGTGGTAATGTGTTTTATGACGGTCACATCTTCTATGCATTTGGATATATATCCTGTCACAGATTCAGAGTATTCCGTTATATTAACAAGCTGGTTGGAAGTGGCAGCCTCCCTGAAAACAGCCCAATCTGTGCAGTCAAAACAGTCTTGGAGGGCTGAAGTGGCCCCCTCTGGCCAGGGTCGGATCTGCTTCACAGAAGCTTTGTTTCTCACTAACAGTGGCCTGTAAGATGGCATAAGTATAACAGAAAGATGGTCCGAGTTACCCAGATGGGGGTGGGGAACAGCTCTGTATGCCTGTTTGATGTTTGAGTAGACCTGGTCCAGAATGTTCTCTCCCCTGGTTGCAAAGTCCACATATTTATAAAAGTGTGGGAGTACTGTCTTTAGTTTGGCCTGATTAAAATCGCCAGCGATTATACAGGCAGAGTCCGGGTTTGAGTCCTGCATCGAGCTCACAGATTGATACAATGTAGTAAGTGCGTCTTTTGTATTCGCACTGGGCGGTATATACACGGCTGTAATAGTCACGGCTGAGAATTCTCTTGGCAAGTATACTGGACGACATTTGACTGTTAAAAATTCTATGTCTTCAGAACAGTGACTTCGGAGAACTTTAGCATTTGTGCACCAGTTGTTATTGATGTAGATTGCCACTCCACCACCTCGTAGCTTACCAGTGAGTGCGTGACTCCTGTCCGCTCTGAATGTTGTTAGTCCGTCCACCTGAATAGCGTTATCTGGAACGCTGTGGTTAAGCCATGTCTCGGTGAGGACGATGGCGCTGCAATCTTTCACCTTCTTTTGTGTATTTAGATCCAATCTGAGATAGTCCATTTTGTTTTCCAGCGAGCGAACGTTGGAAAGCAGAATCGCAGGAAGTGCAGGTCTGTATGGTTTAGCTTTTAGCCTTGCGCTAATACCCGCTCGACTCCCTCGCTTGCTAGGTCTAGCACACCGCTTGCGACGAGTGCTACGTCCCTCCCACCGCTTACGTCGCCTCGAGCATCGGCCAGTATCGGGAGGGGAGACCGCTGCTTTGCAGGCCTCTGGGTCTTGCAGTCGTAGGATACCTAGCTCGTCGAGAATGTTGTGATCCAAAGCAAACATAATTCCAGAGAAATCGTTTGAAAAGTTCGTGTTTCGTAGACCAAGCAGTAGGTCTCTGTTGTAGACTTTTCTCGTACATGACTGAGACGATTCAGACGACACATTTAACATAAAACGCACATCGTTACACGGAGCCGGAGTAGCCGCTGCCGTACCAAGACTTCGCAATGATCAGTAACGTGAGTGTGGCTTATATGCACGGAGATGATGAGAGACACCTGTGCCGCAATCAGTGACAGGCAGAAGGGCTTATGGGAATTTGATTCCGATTAGAATTCTGGTGACGACTCCCTCTGGTTGTGCACTAGAGGGGTAAATGCATTCTCACTTACAACTGCATTTTGGTTCTTTTCGACTGGTTCTGACCAAAGCAATCAGTGTGGTATAAAAAGGACCCAAAAACGGCAGAAAAATGCTACAGTGTATCATTTGTTACCCTTGGTCCAGACCAAATGAACCAACCCACAGATGTAAAAGCACCCTAAAGCTGCGGTCACACCGCACTTTGCTCTCCATAGACTTCCATTCATATGCACATGAATGCGTCAGACTGGGAACGCAAGGTCATGCTTCTAGTTTCACAGTTCGCTTCGTTGGAAAGTTCCAGCTTGGTAAAATCGCATCACTTGACTGCGTGAGACCCATCGAAGATGAAAACATGACGTCTCTGGACAGGAATTTAAAACATGGACCAATCGCTTGCTTTTTTAATATCTAATCTTTTTGTTTAATCCCGCACGTTTTCGCAGCACCGTACGACTTTTGCAGGAGCAAACTCTAGTGTGACCGCAGCTTTATTGTGTGTCAAGTAGCTGCACAACAAGCAGTATAATACAGTGGGGTCATTTTATTAGTTGATTTTTCTTTTAATATCTTCACACAGCCTCTAGTTTGGGAACCACTGCCCTAGATAATCACAATCTGAGAATTTAATCCACATATTTGCCATTTAATGTGATTACAGTTATGCACATATAATTAAGTAGAGTTTTGAGAGGGTCACCAAAATATAATGCATTAATATTTTAAGTGAAGTTTCATAAACTAATTTCGAGAGAAGCACGTGATATGATTGAGCACTGCTGGCCACTCATCCGTAATCAGTAACAATCCAATCAGAGTGATCCTAGCTTACTATAAATGGATCATTTTCTCCTTACTGCACCATCTTCGTTTTGGAAGAATCCCCCCTTCCACCCCATCTCCTCCTTTTCCCCCCTTTTTACTAAAGGTGGAGCTATCGAGAGATACCTGATCTTGGATCCCCTGATATGCTTATTGACCAGGCGGGAGCCCTGGGCTCAAATAACTCCGAGCTCAGGGTTCTCTCCCAGGACAGCATGCCAAACCTGCTTAAATGCCAAGCATCTAAGTGGGAACTCTTGAAATACTATTGACCTCAGCATATGACGGATGTATTTTTCACTAGTAAACTTGATACAAATATAACTATTTTCACTCAATGACTGGAAAAAATTGTTACAATATAATTAATCCATTGTATTAATCATTCCTTTTGATCAAAAATTTATTTGTTTCAACATAATAGTTTTAATAACTCATTTCTAATAACTGGTTTATTTTATTTTTGCCATGATGACAGCACATAATATTTTACTAGATACTATTCAAGATACTAGTAGTCAGCTTAAAGTGAATTTCAAAGGCTTAACTAGGGTAATTAGGCAAGTCATTGTATAATGATAAAAAAATATTGCTAAAGCGGGCTAATAATATTGACCTTAAAATGATTTTTAAAAAAATTTAAAATGCTTTTATTCTAGTGGAAATAAAACAAATAAGACATTCTCCAGATGAAAAAAATATTATAGGAAATATTGTGAAAAAGTCCTTACTCTGTTAAACATCATTTGGGAAATAAGAAAGAAGGGCGAATAATTTTGACTTCAACTTTCCTCAAAATGCTCTGACTGAAACATTTTATTTTCTCTGGCTGTAAAACATCTTTTCTTTCTCAAACCTTCAGGTAAGAGAGAAGGAACAGGATAACCTCTTCACCCAAGTGACGTGGTGCATTTTGGGACTCCGAGGCGTTTGGCAGAAGGTTCCAGTAGAGGCGAATCATAAACTTGAGAGAGCTGATGTAAATGATGGGATTGTGGATGCACAAGGTGTGAAATGGACTGTGGATTTAAAGAAAATGGAGGCCACAGCATGCGTTTCAGGACAGGTGACAGCTCTCAAACGCCTGGAGAACCTTCCAGGTGAGGAATAATATGTTATCTGTAATATTATATGTTATTATTAATAATTAATAATATTCATATATGTGATGACATTAATCATGTTAATGATTTCTCACAGTAGTTATCAACAATGATTTAACAAGTTAGATTAATATCAATATGCAACACTTCATTTGTCTGAAATTGTTTAAGTAATTTTCAAATTTACACCAATGCAATTGTGATTTAAAAAGAATACCTATAAAAATATAAGATGCAGCTTACTCATATGTGGTGCTATAGTGAGCTATTTTTAGAACAGGCCCGCGGGTAACTCATGTTGGTGACTCCTGGTTTAGACCAAACAGTTTACATCAATATATTCAAGTTACAACAACATCTAACAAAATAAAGTTTTGTTTTCCTGTTCTGACAACTTAAAAGTTTTAACCTAATCAGCAATTTAGAATTTTTAAGTTACAACAATGTATTAAACTATGTAGTGGCAACAGATCTCTTGAGTTATGTTTTAGAGTGTGGAAACACATTTACTATATGCATTCCAGCATGTCCATCAAAAAAGTCATGTGGTTTTAACAGATTATTTGGTGATAAAAAGAGGTTGAATTCACATCTTGGGTAGAAAAAGTTTTTTTGTTTCTTGAAGACAATTCAATTTCAATGCTGTAAAAAGCTAATTTGACCACATAATATATCTAAGTAGTTGTAAAGTTTGTGTTTGCAAATTGCAAGGAAAGAATTTGTCATTAAATGTTTAAACGTATGTCTCACTCTTGTGCCTCTTAGATTTCTCTTTGCCCATCTACTGGGACAACATGAAACAAAACGAGCATTTAAAGGTAGTTGATTTAGATCAGCAATCAGCAGAGTACCAGACCGTCAAGGCGGATTTCAAGAAGACCGTCAAACAGACTGTGCTCAAGGTTTGATACTCAACACCATTATTACTGTGTGTTACATGACACAAACATCCTGAAAGACATATAAACAGCATTTAAAGAACAATAATGGGCTAATTCATATTTAAACATGCCATGTGGTGTATTTCAGATGAGTTTTGTAGTCTTGAGTCAACAAGAGTAGAGAATTAATTGTAGGTTATACACTATAGGGATAGTGCACGCAACACTCAAAATTCTCATCATTCACTCACCCTTAGGGTTGGAAATCATTTTAATTTGAATGATTCTGGTTTCTATTCAATGAGGAGGCATTCAGTGATTCAACAAGAGTGGAACCGAGGGAATTGGCTCTAAAATGGAACAATTCCAACAATTCGGAACTGATTCTAAAAACGGAACCAGTTCTCGATACCCAACACTACGTACTCCCTTCATTGTTCCAACCCTGTCTGTTTCTTTGTGTGATTAAACATTGTGGGTTGTACACAAACAACAATATGCAGTATAGACCATTTTTAGAAATGTAAACAATGAGGCTAATGTATCTCCTGTTTTAGATTTTTCTTTTCGAGAACTTCAAAGAATACAGAAAGCTCCACATATTGATGTGGTCATTAGTTATGACAAAATCAATGAGCAAATCTCTCATAATATATCTACCAAAAGACATATAATTACTTATATTAAGTAATATTAAGAAATATTACTTTACAAACTGTATTGTAAATAAATCATAAGGACATATTTGTTCATATTAATACTGGGATAAATTAAAAGCTGAATAAATATAAGTTTACACACATTTACACAAGTAAATTAATAGACTCACTGATGGGCTAAAAATCTGCAGAAATCGGTCTATTTCTGCGCGCACAGATTCCGTGTGGGCCTAGTTGAATCCAGACTGAATCTCGTCTTGTTACAGCTCTGAAATAGTTTGACGACAATATCGCCATATTGAAATGCTCTATAGAGGAATGTTGAAATAAAATGTCATTGAGCTCAATAATTTATATATATATATATATATATATATATATATATATATATATATATATATATATATATATATATATATATATATATATATATATATATATATATATATATATATATATATATATATACATACAGTTGAAGTCCCTAATTATTAGCCCTAATAAATAATTATTAGAATTATTTTGATTTTAATTTTCTTTTTTAAATATTTCCCAAATGATTTTTAACAGAGCAATGAAATTTTCACAGTATGTCTGATAATATTTTTTCTTCAGGAGAAAGTCTTATTTGTTTTATTTCTGCTAGAATAAAAGCAGTTATTAATTTTTTACAACTATTTTTGGGACAAAATTATTAGCCCCTTTAAGCTATTTTTTTCTTGATAATCTACAGAACAAACCATTGTTATACAATATTTTGACTAATTACCCTAACCTGCCAATTAATCACCTTATTAACCTAGTTAAGCCTTTAAATGTCACTTTAAGCTTTATAGAAGTGTCTTGAAAAATATCTAGTAAAATATAATTTACTGTTATCATGGAAAAGATAGAATAAATCAGTTATTAGAGTTAAGTTTTTTAAACTATTATGCTTAGAAATGTGTTGAAACAATCTTCCCAGAACAGAACAGAAATTGGGGAAAAAAATAAACAGGGGCGCTAATAATTCAGGGTGGCTAATAATTCTGACTTCAACTGTGTGTGTGTGTGTGTGTATATATATATATACCTACTATAGATGCCAGTGGTTTCTGATTCCTGAAATTCTACAAAATGCCTTATTTTTTACAGAAGTATTTAATTAGACCACTTAAGAATCAATACATTTACATTTTTGGTTGAACTGTCTTTTAAGGTTAAAATTTTGATTTGTTTTAAAACTTTTTGATAGTTTTAGCTAATGTACATGTTATCATTACAGGTTGTTGTTTTGTGAAAAACAAGAAGTCTATTAAGTGAAGTTTTTAAACTAATTTCGAGAGGAGAACGTGATATAATTGACAGCAGCTGGCCACCTATCTACACTCTTTAGTTAGCCAATCAGATCTATCCTAACCCACTATAAATAGCCTAGCTAGACATTACTCCCTTATCTTCGTTTTCTGAAGAAACCCCCCATCCACCCCTTTCTCCTCCTTTTCTCCTTTACAAAAAGGGGAGCTCTCGAGAACCACCTGATCTCGTACTCCCCTCACATGCTCTATGGACCTGGCGGGAGCCCTGGGCTCAACTATCTCCGAGCTCAGGGTTCTCTCCCGGGACAGCATGCCAAACCTGCTTACAGCTGTCAAGCAATATCTAAGTGTGAACTCTTGAATATGGATTTAATCATGGCTGTTTGTGTGCGAATGCATTTCAACAGATCGAGCGCATCCAGAACATCAATCTTCGGCGGTTATATGAGGCACGTAAATCTGAGCTGGAGATCAAGAATGATCCAGCTGTCGGAGCAGGAGAGAAAATCCTTTATCACGGCTCTGCACAGGCGTCCTGCTCGTCTATCATGAGCACAAACTTCAACCGCAATTTTGCTGGGCAGAATGGTAATTTGTTCAGTCAAGTCATCTTTAATATAGAGCTTTTAAGAATGTAGATTGTGTTAAAGCAGCTTATCATAGATTAAGATTTTCAGATAGTGAAACCCATTCAGGTCAGGTTAGATTACTGATTCTGATTACTGAAACTGATTCAGTTCTGTTAAAAATGAATATCAATGCCGAAGAATATACTGTTTATTTATTTATTTATTTTGATTTATTTAACTTTATTTTATTCATGTATGGTGGTTTTAGTGTTGTGCATTTGTAAGCATGTGGTGATGTATTGTGAAGCCAGAGTCTGATACTGAGTGACTGATACTGACAATATGTGTGCATATATTCCTCCTCAGCCACTGTCTTCGGTCATGGGACGTACTTTGCAGTGAACGCCAGCTACTCTGCTCAGACGACCTATGCAGTTCCTGCAGCAGACGGGACTCAGCTGATGTTTGTGGCTCGTGTGCTTACGGGTCATTATGCTCAGGGTCTTGGGAACATGAAGACGCCCCCTGTCCGTGTTGCTCCAGACCAGTTCTATGACAGTGTGGTAGATAACACGCAGAATCCCACAATGTTTGTGGTTTTTCACGACTGCCAGGCTTATCCAGACTACCTCATCACATTCAAGTGAACTTCAACAACAATCACTGGATGATTCACACTACCTGACAAAAGTCTTGTCGCAATCCAGGTATTAGCAGCAACAAATAACAACTTCTAGTTGATCATTTGGTATGAGAAGTGGCTTATGAAAGGCAAAAGCCTCTAGATTACACTTATTTTAGGAAAATAAAATATGTCTTGATTTTTAATTATCTAATTAGGACAGTAAGGTCTGACTTTGCTTAGACAAAAGTCTCGTCTCTGAACAGAAGTAGGTCTATACTGCTGCAGTGGAAACAGAATGAATATTGTGTCTGACTCCATCATGAGCTTGGAGGACTGCATCCACACATCTCTGACATGACTCTAATCACTGATTAATAAAGTCATCTGGAATGGCAAAGAAAGCAGGACCCCCAGAGTTCATCAAGAGTCTTTGGATTCATCTTCAACACCTTCTCCATCTTTCCCTAGACATGCTTAATAATGTTCATGTTCATGACATGCTTAATAATGTTCATGTCTGGTGACTGGGTTGGCCAATCCTGGAGCACCTTGTCCTTCTTTGCTTTCAGGAGCTTTGATGATGAGGCTGAAGTATAAGGAGGAGCACTATCCTGCTGGAGAATTTGCCCTCTCCTGTGGTTTGTAATGTAATGGGCAGCAGAAATGTCTTGATACCTCAGGCTGTTGATGTTGCCATCCACTCTGCAGATCTCTCGCACGCCCCCATACTGAATGTAACCCCAAACCATGACTTTTCCTTAACGAAACTTAACTGATTTCTGTGGGAATCTTGGGTTCATGCTGGTCCCAGTAGGTCTTCTGCTGTGTTTGTGATGATTGGGATGCAGCTCAACAGATGATTCATCAGAGAAATCCACCTTCTGCCACTTTTCCAAATGATTACTAGAAGTCAAGTTATTATTTGCTGCTCTTACATTAGATTCACGACAAGACTTTAGTCAGGTAGTGTACATGTGTACTTCCGTTTAGTTTTAAATATCACATTTACTCAAAGATCTAGATTTAGTTACACTATATTGAGTTAGATATCTTTTATCAGTGTTGGTTAAAGTAACTTTTGAAAGGAATTTATTACAATCTTAAGTCATTTTTTTAGAAAAGTAACTCAATTACCCAGCAGGCAAACCTAAGACGTTAATATTAGACGTTAATATTAGGTTAGATTTAGGTCATGACATCAGGTGAACAAAATTTGATGTCTTTCCAGCCTCTAAGGACAACGTTATTTTGCCGTCCAATAATGATGTCAAATTACATTGCTATTTAATTGATTTTAGGTTGTGTTGGAAAGTGACAAAAATCTGATGTAACGTGCACACAACGTCAAGGTGTAACATGATTAGGTGTTGATATTTGGTTGATTTTAGGTTGGATATTGACTTCGGCCTGACCCTAGGTACTGACATCAAACCCGATTTTTATTTCCAAACAAAATTCAACATCCCACGACTGCGGGGTACAATGTCAATATGACCTCATGTTGTCGCCCTGTGTCTGCAACGTAGTTACTTAGTTCCTTTTTAGCCCTTTGACTGACGCATTTTAAATAATGACTTCAAAAGTCATTTAAGGAATGGGTGTTTTAAATAATGACTCGCACAAAGCCTTATTGGTTTACAAAAATCAAACAAATATCCTGTCGCACTACTACACTTGATTTTGGTTTTATTGTAAAAAAATTACAAGAAAACATGTTAAATGACACATTGTATGACTTACTTAAAAAAATAAAGGGGATTTAGTATTCAAAAATGATATATTTTGATTTTATTTTTAAATAAATTGGTTGCACACATCATATTTTCAGATTTTTCATATTAAACGGACTGTAGAATTGTGATCTCCGATTAATGGCAGAAGTCACAGGAGATGACAGAAATCGGGGTTTAATGGAATGACTTTAAAGGTGGGGGTAATGTTGACTTCGCCAGCCAAGCGTTGCAGCCGACTAGATTAATTAGAGAAATTGTTTGTTTTTTGGAATATATATATATATATATATGTGTGTGTGTGTGTGTGTGTGTGTGTGTGTGTGTATGTATATATGTATATATGTATATGTGTATATATATATATATATATATATATAAGGCAAGGCAAGTTTATTTGTATAGCACATTTCATACACAATGGCAATTCAAAGTGCTTTACATAAACAAGAATAAAAGAAACAAGTAAAATAAAAATAAAAACAAATAATAAAAATGCGTAAAAACAAAACAAAACATAAAAACAGGTAAAATGTGATATAAAAGAATGAAGAAGAAGAGAAAAACATAATAGTGCGATCTGTCGGACGCACCACAGTGCTCATTCAGTAAAGGCACAGCTAAACAGATGTGTTTTCAGTCTTGATTTGAATGTTCCTAATGTTGGAGCACATCTGATCATTTCTGGAAGCTGATTCCAGCAGCGAGGGGCATAGTGGCTAAAAGCCGATTCACCCTGCTTTGACTGAACTCTTGGAACTTCTAGTTTATATGATCCTAATGATCTGAGTGATCTGTTAGGTTTGTATTCAGTGAGCATATCTGTAATGTATTCAGGTCCTAGGCCATTTAGTGATTTATAGACCAGTAGTAATACTTTAAAATCTATTCTGAATGTAACTGGCAGCCAGTGTAGAGACCTGAGGACAGGTGTGATGTGCTCTGATTTCCTGCTTCTGGTCAGAATTCTGGCTGCAGCATTCTGGATGAGCTGCAAGTGTCTGACTGTCTTTTTGGGAAGGCCAGTGAGGAGTCCATTACAGTAATCCACCCTGCTGCTGATAAAAGCATGAACAAGTTTCTCTAAGTCTTCACTAGAAACAAAGCATCTGATTCTTGCTATGTTTTTGAGATGATAGTATGCTGATTTACTGACTGCTTTGACATGACTGTTGAAACTCAGATCTGACTCCAGAGTCACAACACGATTCTTGACCTTATTTTTTGTCGTTTGACCTTTAGTGCCAAGGTACGCATTTACCTTGAGAACCTCATCTTTGTTTCCAAACACAATCATTTCAGTTTTCTCTTTGTTTAACTGAAGAAAGTTTTGGCACATCCAATTGCTCATTTCATCAATGCATTGGCAGAGGGTGTCAATGGGGCTGTAGTCATTAGGCAGTAAGGCTAGGTAGATCTGAGGCCCCGTTTACACTAGTGCGTTTTAGTTTTAAAACGGCGTTGTAGAATGAAAACGATCCGCGTCCACACTCGCGTTTTACCCAGCGTTTCTGAACAGCTCTCCGTCCACACCAAAACGCTGAAAACGCACATCACGTGATCACACACACACTCTCGGGCAAGCGCTCCAGCATTTCTACCCAGATGAGAGCTCTGCTTGTCGGACTGCTCATCACGCATCTCCCGCTGGATCTAATCTCACTATTCAGCACCATTTGCTGAACGTGATATTCCATTCATGATGTTGTCTTTATCTAACGACATAGGCCAATTCCCTGACTTTGGTCATTGGAATCTATTAAGTTACTTGTTCACGGGTAACATGTTTTGGTTAAGCGCAAAGATAAGTTAATGTTTAATCCAGGTACATTGACTGATCGCTTGCCTTTATTTCCTATAATGTATAAACTTATTGTATTGTTATACTTTTATAATTATCGATTATTAAAACTAATATTCAGCAAAAGAGAGGGTGTATTTCGTATTTTCACTGAAATTGAAAGGAGGCAGTTGTTATCGGCTCCGTTTTGTTATAAATATCCACACAGTGAAGATGACGCTCATATATGCAGCACGACGCCTTAACATTTCTGCTGTCTGTTTAGTTGCTAATATTAAAATGAAAATAGGCAGTTCCTTAAATCATGTTTACATTTTATTGTTGAGAAAGTGAAACAACGTAGCCAAGGTGATGTGAATGAAGTTATAAAGTACACTGTTCCCTTTGAAGATTTACCCGTGTCCTCGGTATGTTTTCCATATCAAACTGAGAAGGGGGAGACTGCAGCCTTGATCAAACTTGCGAAATCTTAACTTACAAGAAGAGGATGCGAGACTGAACTGTGTGGGCTACTTAATATTGAGGAAAAGCCCCAATCAGAGAGGCGAACGTTTGCAGCCCCGCCTCCGTTTTCAGATGTCTCCGTCTTTCCCCATCCACACTGAGACGGAGCAGCAGCGTTTTAGAATGAAAACGGCCCCTCCAGCGTTTTCAAAAAGCTCCGTTTTCGGCGCTCGAGAACTCCGGCGTAGTGTGGACGGATGGCGTAACCGTAGCAAAACTTATGCGTTTTCAAACTAAAACGCACTAGTGTAAACGGGGCCTGAGTGTCATCAGCATAGCTGTAGTAGGAGATTTGGTTCTTTCTCATTATTTGGATTAGAGGGAGCATGTAAAGGTTGAACAGGAGAGGTGCCAGAATCGAGCCTTGTGGGACTCCACACGTCATGGGTGTCCACCTCGACCTATGGTCACCTATACTGACATGGTAACCTCTACCTTCAAGGTAAGATCTAAACCATTTGAGGACCGTGCCAGACAGCCCAACCCAGTTTTCCAGCCTATCCAGAAGTATGCTGTGATCGACAGTGTCAAATGCAGCACTGAGATCCAACTATACCAGCACTGTTATTTTACCTGAATCTGTATTTAGGCGTATATCATTGATTATCTTTATAAGAGCGCTCTCTGTACTGTGATGTGCTCTGAACCCCGATTGAAAATTGTCTAAACACCCCCTGAAGTTTAAGAACTTGTTAACCTGGTTAAAAACAACTTTTTCAATGATTTTGCCAATGAAAGGGAGATTTGAGATTGGCCTGTAATTGCTCAATAGGGTGTTATCCAGGTTGCTCTTCTTCCAGAGGGGTTTAACAACTGCAGTTTTAAGTGAGGTTGGAAAAATCCCTGAGAGAAGTGAAGCATTTACCACTTTTAGAAGATCCATTTCTAAACAGGTAAACACCGTTTTGAAGAATGATGTGGGGAGCGTGTCAAGACTGCAGATTGATGTTTTCATAACTTGCACAGTCTCTTCTAAGATTTTGCCGTTAATTGCCATGAAATCAGACATAATGTCTGATTTCTTAAGTTGTGGTTGAGCTTGTTTGAAATCGACACAACTTGGC